TCTGTTTGTGAGCTGGACTCTAAATCTGTGTGAATGTAGATTAAAGGTCTTAGAGGAAGATGAAGCAGACTGATGAAGTGACTGAAGATGTTCCGCTCTTAGCTGGTTTTTATGTCTGTAAATGTCTGTAACTGTTTATGTCTGTAACTTTGTAAATGTACTACTGTCTGTCTTGTAAATTAGATTTTTAAATGCTGCAGGAGTCCTCCTCTTTAGGTCGGTGTCCACAGACTCAGACTCAGGTCTCCATGTAAAGTAATGACGTCCAGGTGTAACGGATGAATGTGTTACCTTCGTGTTTGTGATCTCTCCCAGAGCGGCTCTCCTCGGACCTGCTGCTACTGTCGGGTTTTTAGACATCTTTACCGGGTTTTCTGAGGCCAAAACCTGCTGGGATACAAGGACACACGTCTCAAGAACTAAAACATCTCCTGACATTAAATAAAAAAGAAAGAAGCAGAGTCGACCAGAGCTAACATCGATGCTAACACCGACGCTAACATCGATGCTAACCTGCCAGGCTAACCGCAGTTTTCTGAAGTAAAGTCACTTTAACTCACCGCAGCTCGGACTTCCACAGATGTCATGTTCTCCGGAGGAACTACGAGGACAAACTCTTAAATTTATCACCAACAGAAAAACCTCAGAGCCGTGAACACAGAAAACTGTAACCGAGAGACAGAGAGAGAGCAGAATTCAAATAGCGCTCCGTCAAATCTGATTGGCTGTCGCTCTGGTAGGACGCTTCTGATTGGATAATGACCTGTGGGCAAAGGTGGACGTCTATAAATAGATTTTTGACTAAATAATAAAAATACAGGTGAATATAATTATAGTGAATATAAAAACAGATATTTATATTAACGAATTAAACATCAATGATTCTGACATAAACGTGCAAAAGACCAAAACTGAAGTCAGCTTCAAATCAAGTCATTTGATTAGATTATTAAAAATGTCCCTTTGATTGACCTCACTGCATAACTGATCAATATTGATTAACAAGAATGGACTGTGTCTTCTTCACACAAGATCGACAACCAGAATCCAAGAGAATTTGATGGTTTTTAGATTCATTAAAGTTCAGACTTAAAAAAAGAGTGAAAGTCTGGAGGATCTTCAGAGTCCAGCTCATCTGTGAAGACTCCATTAATGCTGAATTAGATCTACAGGTTTAGGAGCAACAGGACTCTGGAGTTGGAGTCACCGCACAGACTTAATATCACTCCTCTGTGAACTGTCCAGAGGTCTGATGGATCAAAATCTAAAACTCTTTTGGAAAGGACAACTGGACTAACTTGAGACATTTCACCTTAGGCAAAATGCTGCATCCTCAGTTTTAAACTATATTTGTAGGTTTAGGAGGAACATCTGTGTCCATCCAGACAAAGACTTTTTCAGAGAAGACCTTCATATGATCCCAAACCACATTCTGACTCCAGAACCTGGTCTGCTGGGTCCACTAAGGTCTTCAGAGGGTTGGTGTAAGTAGAGTTGAGGACACAGGATGAGGAACTTAAACCTGGAACCACTTCTGACAAAAGTTAAAATGACCTTTTTTCCCAGTTTTAACATCAGATTCACTTTTTGCACCTTTTCTGATGAAAGAACAAAATCCAGCGGTGTGCAAACGATCAACATCAGTCGATCATCTTCAACATCTGACTCCATTTCTCAGCTCTAATCAAAAATAAGATCAGGACAGTATTATAGAGGAAAAGTCCAAGAAGGTGAAACTGTCATATCTGTGAAAGTTCAGGGTCCCAGTTGGTGGACAGAAGGTCTGCATTTTAAAATAAAAAGTCAAAACTGCTTTTCTTTTTGAAGTATTTATCTGTGATGTTTTATCATCATACGATTTAAATTCTTATCTCTTTTATTATCATCTACAGAAGGGTCAGAGCCGCCTCTTTTGCCTGAGATGACTCCGATCATAGACGTCTGTAGTTAGATGCTGCAGATGTTTGATCAGTCTGTGGTGTAGATCTACAGTGTTCTGTTCTACGCTGCATCAAGCACAAAGATGGAGACGTCTGAACAAACTGGTGAAAAAGGCTGGCTCTGTGGTCGGACTCTGTGGAGGATGTGGTGGAGAGATCTACACTGAGGAAGGTGGAGACTATTCTAAAGAACATGGATCACCCACTTCACAACATCCTGATGGACCAAAGGGCCGACGGTGGTGGACGGCTCCTCTCTCTTCACTGCTGGACAGAAAGATTCAGAAGATCTTTGGACCAACAGACTTTATAACTCTGCTGTAAATAACAGAAAACTTTTAGAGATTTATCATGTGAGACAACAGACAGTTGAATTTCCCTTCGAGGATTAAAAAAGTTCTTATTTTCAGATTTCAGCGACTTGTCTACATTTGTATTTCTCTTTACGTACAGAAGTTCATTAAACTTTTCTTATTACTTTTTATTTCTCAACGTCTTTTATATTTAAAGATCTACAAAAGCTGAATTCCAGCACTTTTTATTTTTGCTCTAGAATTCGTTATTTAAGCCCAGTAACAGGAATATCCAGCAGTAGACAGGGTGATGAGGTGAAGGGGGTGTTTGTGATTCATGTTTCCCTTCAAGAACTGTACTGTATGAATCTGTTTTCAACTAATCAAAAAACAAGTCAAAACTGGGTCTTCAGAGATAAAAAGTTCTTATTAAAGTTCCTTTTAAAATCTGAAGTGAGAACAGGTGGAAGTTCTTGGACCTAAATTAAAAACATGTTGTGTTGTTGTTTCTGTGTTCTCAGTCACTTCAAACCTGAACCCGTTTCTTCTCCAAACACGCACGCACACACGCACGCACACACACACACATACTCATCATAAATGGAAATAATGAGGACAGACAGGTCAGGGACTAAGAACAGGCTCAGGAAACAAGAGTCACAAAGAAACTTTATATAGTCTTCAAGTATTCAAAACTGTTAAATAAGTACAAGATGTGTTCAAATGATTTACATATGGGACAATATACGCACTGCCCATTTGAATTCTCTTTACATGTTTCCCACGACCCCACGCCACACGCTAAAACGTCCCAAACTATTCACATTTCTTTGCTTTTTATTGTGTTTTTTTGAACTTGAGTTTTTGAATCAATCAGGAATCGTGACAGCTGTCTATTGGACAAAAAGCACAGAGACGTTACACCTGAACAAATTACAGTGTAGGATGGAGACGTCCGACGAGGAGACGGGGCGAGAGGGAGGGAGGGAGGGACCGAGCCGGGTTCAGAACGGCGGTTAGCTGCTGGTGATATGAACAGTACAGATTAACACAGGAGAGGAAAGGGTTAACATTCAGTCTGAGTCGATCCCTCGATTCTTCTCTACCTCCAAAATCAGAAATCAAATAATATACAGAAGGACTGACGGCGGCGGCGGCGCGTGTGTCTGTGATTTCAGAGGGTTCGAGTTTTGAAGAATTTGGTCTAAATGTGTGAGAGAGCTCTTTTTTTATTAAGGCACCTAATGCTGTGACATACAGAGAGAGAGAGAGAGTGAGAGAGAGAGAGAGAGAGAGAGAGAGAGAGAGAGAGAGAGAGAGAGAGAGAGAGAGAGAGAGAGAGAGAGAGAGAGAGAGAGAGAGAGAGAGAGAGAGAGAGTGAGAGAGAGAGAGAGAGAGAGTGAGAGGGAGAGAGAGAGTGAGAGGGAGAGAGAGAGAGAGAGAGAGAGAGAGAGACAGAGAGAGAGACAGAGAGAGAGAGAGAGTGAGAGGGAGAGAGAGAGTGAGAGGGAGAGAGAGAGAGAGAGAGAGAGAGAGAGAGACAGAGAGAGAGACAGAGAGAGAGAGAGAGAGAGTGAGAGGGAGAGAGAGGGAGAGAGAGAGAGAGAGAGAGAGACAGAGAGAGAGACAGAGAGAGAGAGAGAGGGAGAGTGTGTGTGTGTGAGCACCTGTGAAGAGAATACACATGCAAACTTCTGCTACAGCTCCGATCATGTCTGTGTGTGTGTGTGTGTGTGTGTGTGTCTGTGTCTGTGTGTGTCGGGCTTGTGTGTTGTAGTTAATGCTGCCACCTTCTCCTCCCTTCCTTCCTTCAGATTTCAGAATAATAACGATGTAAATTAGCACCAAACAGAAACGAAGAGAAAGAAGAAGACATGATCTGAACGTGTGAGACTCTAGTGTTAGACTGTCCTTCTATAATTCAGAGACATGAAACAGAAGGACGTGTGTGACGTCATGACGACAGGAGGGCGGGGCATGAGCCAGTCTTTCTGTACATTACTTTGATACTAAAACGCAGACAGGGATCTGTCTGTCCTGACTGGGTTTGAACCAGCAGGTGTGCCATGTTTCCATTAGACAGACAGACAGACACACAGACACACACACACAGACAGACAGACAGACAGACAGACAGACAGACAGACAGACAGACACACACACAGAACAAGCGCTGGTCCATTTCTGAGTGGGATTAGAAAACTGTGTGCTTTTCCTGCAGCGGGGATTATTTACAGTGCTGTGAGGAAACCACCGTGAGCTGGACTGTAAGAACGCTGCAAACACACACAGACACAAACACACACAGACACACAGACAGACAGACAGACAGACGGACAGACAGACAGACGGACAGACAGACAGACGGACAGACAGACATCGACCCTCGCTCTGCATGCAAACACTCCCCTCTTCCTCAGACTGAAGGCGAGCACACAGGCTGACCTCAGCAGACTGAAGCCCATGATGATGATGATGATGATGAAGGTCCACAGAGAAGGTTTGGGAGTGAAGCTGCTGTGATAATGGGAACATGGCACTGACTGACTGACTGACTGACTGACTGACTGACTGACTGACTGACTGACTGACTGACTGACTGACCCGGGTTCGACTGCCTCTGGACCAACCACACCACCACACCGTGCTCAGCATGGTTCATCAGGCTAAAATGACAAACTATGAGACAAAAAGAACAAAATCAAGAGTTGAATAAAAACCTGCCTATGAGACAGAGGGGATAGTCACCATACTGTACACTTTCTACAACATCCATGTCCACCATGAAGAGAACAAGTGCATTCACTGACAGAAGACCTTAACCTGAAACTGAGAGGAACCCTCTCTCTCACACATGATTCGTCTGAACCTGATTCACCTTAAAGATCGGAGCTCCGCCTCCGCCGCCGCCGCTCTGAGCTCCAGGTTTCAGAAAGTTGGTTTTGACGGGAGGTGAGAGGGAGGTTCAGTTTCAGGTTAAGAGCACCTTCTAAAAACGATGATGTTTCAGGTTTTCTTTGTCTTTTTTTGTGGTTTTAAATTACTGTACTTCTTTTACATCAACAGAGCGTTGATCAGAGTCATGGGTATTTACAGCCGGACCTGGAGTGATGAGCTCCACAGCTTATGCATTGAGCCTCAGAGACTGATCCTCTCTCCTCCTGGAGGAGATATCGATGTCTATGGAGTCTTTGCCCACGATGAGCCGCAGACGCTTCGCTGGAGGAAGTGGAATGAAATCGTCTTCAAACTCATTGTCAAAGTAGTCGTCATCCTCCTCCTCCTCCTCCTCCTCCTCCTCTTCCTCCTCCTCCTCCTCCCCTTCCTCATCATCGTCATCCTCAGACGAGGGCTCGGGCAGGACCTTCTGGCTCCGATGTCCCCCGTTCCTGCCCTCCAGACTCTGACTCACGTCCCCGTTGGTCTGGGATAACCTCCGCGCGTCGTCCTCCCTCTTCAGCTGGATCTTCAGCTTGGTGGAGTTGCCGTGCACGCCGGGAGCGAAGCCGTTATTCAGCTTGGCGATGTAGGAGCTGCCTTTGTCCTTGTCGTGGTCCTTGCTGAACTTGATGCTGATTTTGCTGGAAGAGGCGGAGTTGACGGAGGAGGCGGAGAGGTTGGAGGAGCCGATGGGATCGCCCACGTCGTTGGTCTTGCTGCTGCTGCTGTCCCTCCGCCGGCGGAGCGTCAGTTTGGGGATCCCCGTGTTGTTTTCCAGGATCAGCTGAGCGTCGTATCTGGTGATGCGGCGCTTCTTCTTCCCCTTGTCCTGCGACCTGCAGCTGCTCTTACCTTTGTCCCTGCGGAGGGACTTGCTACCGTTGGAGACCCCGTTGTAGTCCCTGTGTCTGTCTGCGAAGCTCAGCAGCATGTTCCCGCCCTCTGAGAAGTTCGCCGTGTGACCGGCGGCCATCGGAGCGAACGGCTCGCCGTAAGAGTCCTCGCATTTAATCGTCCTGTCAGAGCCGAGCCGCGGCAGGCGTTTCCGCCTGCACGAGCCTCTCCGGGCGTAACCCGAGTCTAACGCCGGCGTCTCCAGTGAGACTCCGTGATGGAGATACTCCTCCATGTCAGCCGGCTCCGTTTTTATCACCACTCCACCAGGGACCGGACTCAGGCCGTCCATGGCGCTGGGCTCCAGTTTGACGCCCCCTGCTGTTTCCTGCGCCTTTATGAGGGTCCTGGTGGACCTCCGAGTTCTGTAGGTGGGGCACCTTCCGCCCTCGCGGCTCTGCAAATGCGAGAGATTTCCGTTTTCCTTGGCGGCGTGCCGGGTGAGACAGCCGCGCTGCACCAGCTCCTGTCCGTCCCTCTCCTTCTTCACCGTGACGCCTTTACACAGCGACACCTTCGAGTCCCTGAGACCCAGCTGGAGAGTCTCTCCTCTGGCCGCCGCCCTGGGCTCCGCCCCCCGCCTGCGACTCCGCAGCTGAACTTTACTTAGTGAAGGCTTGGATTGGGATTTGAGTCTCTTTGGTACCCTGTTATTGTGGACTCGGCCTTGTTTGGAACATGAGGTAGTTAGGGCTCTGGACAAAGTCTGTCTGGATTGAGTCCGGTTCTTATATTTCAGGCCAGAAGACGAGGATGAGGAGGATGATGAAGGTCTTTTTCTGGCAGCTGCTGGAACAGAGGAAGGAGAGGCAGCAGGTTACAGATCGATCATGAAAACAGGAGGACCAAGTAGAACCTGTTCTAGGACTAAAGTGATCCTCTATTTCTGAGAATCAGGGTTTTTAATCTGGTCAACAATCAGAAACATAATCCTCTTTAGAGGAGGGGGGGGGGGGGGCACCTTTACAGTCCTGAGACCATGAGGTGCTGAAGGGTCCTGTGATGGTCCAGGTTCCTGGTCTTTATAGGAGGACTTTATCTCTCTGTCTCTGCCTCAGAAAAACCTTCTCCTGTTTCCTCTTTACTTACTCCGAGTGTTTTCAGAGTTAGAATAACGGCTGTTTTTGAGTCTTTAAAAGAAGAAGAAGAAGAAGAAGAAGAAGAAGAAGGAGAAGAAGAAGAAGAAGAAGAAGAAGAAGAAGAGGAAGAAGAAGAAGAGGAAGAAGAAGAAGAGGAAGAAGAAGAAGAAGAAGAAGAAGAGGAAGAGGAAGAAGAAGAAGAAGAAGAAGAAGAAGAAGAAGAAGAAGAAGAAGAAGAAGAAGAAGAATCCTAAATGTTCTCCTCAGATCAGTTTGGGTTTGTTTTGTCTGTTCGATCAGGAGCTAAAATCAGGAGCTTCAACGTCTGAACTTCACGTCTCGTTTCTGATGAATCGGCTCTCGGGTCATTAAATTTAAACTCACTAACCTGCTTCACTTTCAAAACTGCACAAATCATGTTCACGGCAATAAACACGGACAACAAGGAACAGGGACACGAAGAAACCGAGAAGTTTCTCTCCTGAAAAAGAGCCGCACTCTTTCAGAGTTACAGACTTTCCTCTTTGTTGTCGTGTTTCTGTTCGTGGACGAAGATTGTGGGACAGATCAGCTGTGGAGCTCAAGTTCTGTCCAAGAATGACCCAATTTAGAAAGTGGAACAAGAACATGGTTCTCATCAGGTCCAGGGAGGAAGAAGGACTTTAACTATCGGCTGTTTTCATGAATGATTTCTGAATTTATTTACTCCATTCATGTTCTATTATAGACTGACTGTTTACTGAGTAGGTTTATAAAAGCAGAATTCTTCACTATTATTAGTATGTTTTTAACTGCTCGGATTATTATTGTTGTTGTTGTTGTTTTGGATATTCTCACTAGTTTTGTCTGTTTTCAGTTTATTTTCTTTTGTTGCAGCACGTTTGAAAAAAATGAAGAAATGAGTGTTTTCACAGAATCAGCTGACTTTGGTTGTTCAGACCGTATGAAGTCAGAGAATTCAGCTCTGATCATCAGGATGATCCGAACTGTGACGGTTTTTAGGACCGCCTCATGAATCGGACCTTTCTGGACCTTTATGACAGTGATGTGATCTACGTTATCACCGTCACCCTGGTGTGAGAGTCTGGATTGTGGAGGGACTCTTACACTGATGTGTTTTTGGCATTTCCTGAGAGTCGACGTCTGTGTGGGAGCCGACAGAGTGACTGTCCGAGCTCGGGTTTCCCTCTCCAAGCTTCTTCAGCCGGTTGAGACGTTTGTCCGTCTCTCGTAACCCGTACTTGCTGTTGATCACCGGAACCTCCACCGGCAGACCAGCTTTGGATTTGAAAGCCCCGGTGCCCCGCCTGCACGACCACAACAAGACAGTTGACACAGATCACGTGACCAAAAAGATGAGCTGGGAGTGACTGCACAACAGCTCTGATTGGTCAAACTCACCGTTCACATGTGTAGCATTCACAAAACTCGTTATTCTCCCCAAAGAAACCGTCTCCGTAGTAACAGGAGATTTCCTCCCCTGGTTCGATGTCCCTCAAGACCTTCACACAGGCCGTGTCCCGCCCTGTCGACACAAACTACACACCAGAAAACCGTGGTTATCAGGGCGTCCAGCACTGACCTGAACTCTGAGGTTTTGATTTGAGCAGGAACTCACCTTGCAGTTCGGCCGACAGTCTGAAATGTGAGAAAATAAAGACCTGAGGTTAGTTTCTTTACCGACTAGACTTCCACTGATCGAACACAAACGCACCGACACAGATCTCACCATGATTGATGAACGCGGCTGGTCCCAGCCACAGCTGAGCGCAGTTCTTGCGTGTCGAGTACATGACGCTGAAATCGTTCTCGCCGTGCCGCAGCAGCATGTTCTCCTCGCTCTCGGAGAGCTCAGCGATGCAGCCGACCAGGTACTCGATCTTATCGTTTCTTTTCCTGTCAAACAAAGCAGCGCTCTCGGTGAGGTGATGGCGAGCACAGCTGGCCGTATAATCAGAATCAAAGATGGCCGTCTGTCCTCACCACTCTTTCGTCGCCACAATCTTGGCTCCGTTTTGCTCGGATGAATAGCGATTACAGGGGAGGATCTCGAAGCCGCTGTCCGTGGCGAACATCCGCAGATACACAAACACCTGAGGAGCAGAAATCAGAGTCAGTCAGAGGTCAAAGTTTGACTCTGGAGTCTCTCAGGTGGAGTTAGGAGGACGTTTCTCACGTGCTGTTTGAAGAGCTTCTCTTGAGCTTTGGTCTTGTGGAGAAAAAGGTTCCGGGACCAGTCTCCTGACGTCAGCGCTCTGAAAGCTTTTTCAAGGTTGTCGTGTTTCTTGAAGTGCTCGATGACCTCCTTCAGCTCCTCCTGCCGTCCCTTCACCGGTCTGAACCTGGAGGGGAAGCAGGTCAAACACAAAAACTGGACATGAGAGACTCAATCAAACTGAAGCTCATCAGCTCCATCAGCTCCTCTGAGGTGACTCCTCTGCTGACCTGGTGTTCATCTTGTGGGTCTGAAAGCCCAGGTATGGATCCAGGATCAGACTGGTGGTCAGGTCATCGTTCTCACACAGCTCCTTGGCGGTCATTCCTGAGGAGGGCACATAGCGCCTCTCTGCTTCCAGACTGGCGGCATTGAACCCTGCAGAACCCGAGCACACACACACACACACACACCCTGATGAGAAGGTCTGTCTCTTCAGCTGAATCTCTGCTTAGTAACCGTAACCATGTCATTCACTCACTGCGGCTACATCTTCGGTTTCTGTTTCGGTTGTGGCGCAGAGACGCTCGCTGTTGATGCTGAGAGCGGGTCTGGCTCTGGCTCACGGGCTGCTCGCTGGTCAACTTGTTTCCGTGTCGTCTGCCATTTAATACCATGTTCTTGGATTCGCCCAGCCACTTCATGCCCACAAGCCCCCTGGTCCAGTTGCATTTAGTCTCTGAGATGAAGGAACACTCTCGGGTGTGGAAGACTGGGGTCGAGAGTTTGTGACCTGAGGGCAGAAAATGATTCAGTCAGTTCTGAGGAGGTTCTGAGGAAACAAACTGGGACTGGAACAGGAGGATGGATGTGCTGACAGACAACTAATCAGGAGCACACTCAGACATCTACGCTTCATTCACAAACGGAGATGAAGGTCCACCTAAGAGCAGCAGCAGCAGCAGCAGCAGGTCTGTCTCTGTTACAGCAGAAAAGACTCCCTGCTGTGAGCTGCAGCTGGAGTCTGCAGTTCTTTACATGATGGAGGAAGAACAACGACAGTGTTGTTAGTCTGTCTGCACGTTAACAATGACCCTCACACTGATGACCCACCACTTCATCATCTACAGAACAGCTCCAAGGATGAAATGGGCTTATGCTGTGTGTGTGTGTGTGTGTGTGTGTGTGTGTGTGTGTGTGTGTGTGTGTGTGTGTGTCTCATGTTTTTCCACATTCACAACAAAAACTGCAAAGTTACAGAGTCGGGGGTCGAGTTACAAATCAGGAGGTAAATGTTTGTCGTCAAAATCGGAGAAAAAACATCTGAGCTAAAGTACAGCTGAACGGCCTGACTCCAACAGTGTGTGTGAGGGGACACCCATAGTGTGTGTGTGTGTGTGTGTGTGTGTGTGTGTGTGTGTTCAGTTTTAGAGTCATAAATATAATACTGTGATAAAACCTACTTCAATTAAATAATTACTACATTAAATCTGATTCATTAAAGGGTTTCTGCAGGTCTTAACGAGTCAAATTAAAGACTTTTTAAAGAAAATAAGGAAAACAGTTTAAGATCCAAACAAACCAAAAAGGAACAAAAGACATGAGGGGAAATCTGACCATTTAAACTTTAAATCAATCTTTACTTGTGAGTAACATCAACACATTTTTAAGACATTTCTAAATTATATTACAGATATTTTATGAGGTTTTAAGAGAATTTTAGATATTTTAAAAGACCTTAAATTCAAATTATTAGACTTTAGATGTTATAAGATGTTTTCAGACCCTGCAGATACCCTGTCCATTAAACTGTGATTATTTGACATGTCTCTGAGTTTCCACAGGGATCAGTCAAGTGTAGTGTAAATGTTCCTGTTGAAGTTTTCAGAGGCTCGCTCCTTCACAGTCGGGTTTTTAAGCTACACAGTTTTTAATTTTAGTAAATATGAACAAAGACAGAATTCATTACACTGTCTGACCAAACATCCACAACAAACAGCAGGAACTGAAGCAGGTGTAAAAGGATCCTGCAGCGCCCCTCAGTGGTGAGTTCACATATTGCACTGATTCTCTGTCCATCACCAATAAATCAGATATTGATCATTTAAAGGGCCATGAAAACCTCAGAAAAAGTCCTGTTCGTGAGCTGATGACCAAACTGTCCTGTTTTGTGTTATTCTGGGATATTTAAGATGTTAAACTGTTTTCAAACACGTCCTTAAATCCACCCTCTCATCAGAAATCTGTGTATAAGACACTTTAGCAGTTAGCGCTCAGGCCAAACAAGGAGGAGCTGAAACCAGGAAGGACACAAACAAAGGCCGAGATCACACCTGAGTTACCTGAGTTACCCAGAAAGCACCGCAGCACCCCTGTGTTTGCTAACTGTCGGCTCGTTAGCATGAAGCTAACAGGGAGGATGCTACACCGGTTTACATGGACAGGTTTACTTTACAGAGAAACACACAAACAGAACAACTGTAACCACTAAAACCACAGAAATCACTAAAACAGGATTATAATATAATCTGAGAGGTGACATGTAAGAAAAAAAACAGGATTATAGTGAAAACATCCACTCTTCAGCTCGACCTGCTTTAAAGTTTTATATCGTTTAAATATTAAATTCACTTTTTAGAAGCAGCTTTTATTTTGAAAATCTGTGTTTTATAAGAAGAAAATGTCTGTAAAGTTTAGTGTCGTTAAAGAAAATCTGAGTCGGTCCTTTAATCTGAGGACACTGAAGTTGGTTTGTCATTCGTCGTTTAGGATTGGGCTGTTTATGGGGGAGACCAGGACCTGATAATCCAGGACCACAACAACACCCAGACTCATCAGAGACTAGACCATCTAAGAGTCTGTAGACCTGTTCTAATTATTATTATTATTATTATTATTATTATTATTATGATGAGGGTCTGAAAACGTCACACTGTTTATGAAAACGAAAAAAAAAAAAAATCTGATTTATGCTGACGATGTTACTATTAGTGTTGTATAAAGTGTAAATACTTGCATATTATCTCTTTATTTGTGCTTATTTTATCCATTATTTATCTCCTCTTTTTCTTGTATTTGGACTGGGGTCAATGTGACAAAAGCTATTTCCCCCTGCAGATAATCAAAGTGTTTCTGGTTCTGATTTCATCATTTTTTCAGATCAAGTCCTGATCGAAAACCAAAACACTCAGGTTTATGAGATCCGGTCTAAATGATCAGAGGTCGCAGATTCTTTTAAAAACAGATCAGATCAGCTAAATATCACATTGGAAAAATGTAAAAGGGGTGGGCTCTGCCTTTCTGTTTTCAACCTGGACCATATGACCGTTCCTACTCCAGAACCACAGCACTCTGACTTTTCAGATCATTTCACACATAGACAGGTTATTCCGTTTTTCTCAAACTGCTTTCACTAAAGTCAACAGCCTCTCTGTGGTACTGAAGGTCAGAGGTCACAAATCTGGGCGCTAGGATTCTGGATCAGGGTCTGGTTTTCCTACCCCCTAATAGTCATTTTTTGTTAGTGAATGCCTAACTTCAGTTATTTTGTTGCATCCATATATGGTCCCCTCATGGCACTTTTTCCTTCCTTTGGACATTAAACAGCTAAAAATAAACTTTAATTTGTCAGGTATTGTCATATGTTGATTTTGTTTTTCTTCGGAAGATTATTTCAGGTAAAAATCACCTGGTGATACTGATGGTGTTACTATTTTTAGAGATAGTGTTGTAGGGTTAAACTTTATTTATCGTGGTTTTCGTCTTCTTTCTCATCTTAACTTTTAAATACTAATTTTAATGTTGAATACTGTGATGATGTGAGCGAACTGTGTTTTTATAGAAATTTACCATTTTAACGGTTTAGTTTTTAAAGTCCCTGGAAATAGATGTATGTTGACTAATTGTAAACTGTTAGTCTAAAGCCTCCTTTTAAAATAAATTATGTTTTTTAGTAATAATTCAGAGTATTTGTGCAGCAGGTTTAAAGAGCAGAGGAGCTGTCGAACATCAAACTAACTTCAGGTGGAAGCTATCTGAGCTCGGCTAGCACCACCAACACCGCAACAAGCGTCAAAAAGCAGCGATGTTACCATCATCTTCTGTTTAAACGACCCGATTAAAACATTCATACATCAGTTTTTGTCCCATAAAAGCACGGAGAGGCTACACTCACAGCCCTGAGATAACTTTAATGTTTCCTACCTGCAAACCGCTGGAGCACAGCAGCTAGCTCAGGCTAACGGCTCCTGCGTTAGCTTAGCTGCTCGATGTGGAAGCCATTAGCGAGCTTAACAGGCTAAATATACCAAATGTAAGTGAATTAGAGGCTCGTTGTCCTGTCGCCGCCTTCATATGTAATCTCGGTGTGTTTAATTATGTTTAATAAACGGTATAAAGCTGCTCTTATTTCACCGGACAGAGCGGTGACGTTAAGCTGGAGCGGCTCACGCGCTGCAAACGTTAAATGTCCCGATTCGAGCGGAGAGACGAACAAACACCGAGTACTCACGATGTTGGTCTGCTTAACAGCAACGAAATAAAACACCACTCCTTCAAATTCATCCGGATTAGGAACCAAAGCCTGGGCGAAAATTTCACAGGAAACACATTTTTTTAAAGAAATTAACATTAAAATTCAAGATGGCGGCCTAGCACAGCGAGAGGGAGAGAAAGGCGAAGCACCGCCGTCCGAGAGAAAATAGATCCAATAAATACGCAGCCCTGTTTATCCGCGAGAACAAAAATGAGTAACAGAACTCCATATAAACGTCCAAAACTTAAAAATGAACCACAAAATCCACATTTGATCGCTTTTGATGTAGGGTGTTGATATTTGTTATCTTAGTTTGTGTCAGTAATTGTCGGATGTACACAAAAGTAGTGCTGCATAAACAAACCTCTTTACGCTTCCTAAAGATTCCAGCGGTAGTGGGCAGACGCTGTGGGTTCTGTTGGTTCTGCCCTCAACAGAACCTCAACGAACCAGGCAGAACAAGTGAACTACATCCCCATCACTTCTATTATTTACATACTGATGCCCTAACCCTTTACCTGCCTCCACTTAATTGGATGAACAGGTAACTCTGACAGGAGTATCATTGACTTAGATTAATGGTAACACAACAAGGCCACCGACCTTAATAATGTGGTAATTCAGAGCTGTTTTTGTGTGTGACATTTGGAAAATAACCAACCTATTACATTTGTATTTGTGTTTATTTATGTAGCGCAGATTAAAAACAGTGCAAGAAGGGAACGAAGCCGATAGGCTTATACAGAGTTCCACTCCTGTCAGGGCAGAGAAAGCAGAAGGTGCAGAGGACAAAGTAACTAGGACATAGTAGTGTTGTAGTCCAGACCGCACCAACCAAGACCACAACATTACCAAGACCAGAGAGGACCAAGACCGAGACAAGACTGAGTGAAAATGCCTTCGATTCCGAGACGACACCAAGACCCTCAAAAAATGGTCTCGAGACCAAGACCGATCTCGAGTACTACAACACAAGGACATAGACAGGTTACAAATATACAATGATTAGAGAAAGGTCAAACAGATACAAACTGTCATAAATGGAACACAGACTAATCATCAAACAGTGATAACGACAATATAAGTATTCATAGAAAGGACAGAAACATGATCATAACAGATAATGACGTATTTAAGACATGATCACATGATATTTGAATGATATTTTAAAGGAGTTGAGGGATAATATTAATTTTAGAGATCCATCCAGATTATTCCACTGTTTCGGACCTCTAAAAGTGATGTTAGACAGATGACCAGAAGTTTGACAGGAAGGTAACTGAAGATGGTCGTTTTGTCGTGTTGAGTACGGGTGAAGGTCGGAAGAAAAGGTAAAAAAGTTTCGGAAAGTTTCAGGAAGGTTTGGTTTGTTATTGATGAACTTGTAGACAAACAAACGAGAGTGAAAGACACTGAGTTTGTCAATCGGTAAGAAGGAGTATTTAGAAGAGAGGAGCAGAAGGTTCATGTCTGCTGGATCGAGATATTATTCTGAAGAATCTTTTCTGGATTATTCATATTTTCTTGAGGTATGTTGGATACGTTGCACACCATACAATATTACAATAGTTCATGTACGGAAATAGAAAGCTATAATACAAAGACAAATGAGCAGAGGGATTGATCAGAGGACAGACCTTATCGATTATACAGAGGCTCTTCATTGACCTTTTGCAAACTCGACCGATATGAATGTTCCACTTCACACCCTCATCAAGGACAACACCCAAAAAAGTGGTGTGGGGTACTTGAGAGATTTCAGTACCATTAATTGATATTTTGGCTTCTTCTTTTGGATAAGATTTGTTAGTTTATTATTGAACCCAGCAGACTGAGTTCTGGAGTCTGACAGTCAAATGTTGTCCCAGTCTGTCCTGATAGAGGATCTCAGCTGCTCTTGGTCCTGTTTTGGAGGTCATGATGCTCCAAATGTTTCCAAGTCAGGACCCCATCAGTCCAGGACTCTTCTCCTACAGAGCCATGCTGTTGTCAGATTGTGGTTTGGGATCATCTGAAGGTCTTCCCTGAAAAAGTCCTGGTCTAGATGGACGCAGATGTTGCCCCTTAACCTGGAGATATTGTTTAAAACTGCGGATACGGCGTCTATGATTTCTGGTTCTTTAGAAACTCCAGTTGTCCTTTCTAAAAGAGTTTTAGATTTTGATTCATCAGACCTCAGGACAGTTCACGGACGAGTGATATTAAGTGCATGCGGTGACTCCGACTGCAGAGTCCTGTTGCTCCTAAACTTGGAGATATAGTTCAGCATTAATGGAGCCTTCACAGATGACTTGGACCTTGATGATCCCCATACCATAATATTTTTAGGGATGAACTTTAAGCAGACGATGACAATGTGATTCAGACTGTTCGTGTCTTTCAGAGAAAACCCATTAAACCAACAGATAAAGAAACTGTCAATAGAAAAATAATAAAAATCTACATAAAATGTTCTTAGAGACACTAAAAGAATTCAGCTTCTGCACAGTCGATGGTTTTTAAAGTGATTCTGAGCCCATGCAGTGATTTCCACTCCAGAGTCTTGATTGTTTTTTAGTGTAGTGCTGCCTGAGGGCCTGAGGATCAGGACCATCCAGTCTTGGCTTTGGACCCTTCAGTACAGAGATTTCTCCAGATTCTCTTTAAATGATATGATGTACTGTAGATGATGAAATCCACTCATTCTTTGACTCTCACCTGGAGCATGATATCAGAGAAGGACGGCCGCTGTGTGAAGAAAGAACACACTTCTTTATTTACTTTTATCTGAGTATGATTTTCATCTTGTCTTGTTTATTTCCTGTAAGTTATTGTCTTTTTTTTTTTTACCTCTGTAGTGACCTGTAGCCCTGTCAGGTGTGCTCAGTGAAGGTGTGTTGCTGCAGTGATTCTTTCAAACACACACTGATGTTAATCTAAGTAAACTTTGACATCCTGGAGCGCTGCCCACAAACACGCACAGACGCTTGAACTTCGTGGGCGTAAAACACGCCTTTCATTTCATATTCCTGCACAGAGCGCTTTATGACATGTGGGCAGCATGTGTGAGAAAACATGCTGCCATGGAAACCACCTAACACCCCCCCCCACACACACACACACACACAAAGACCCTGACCCTCTCCTCCTTCTCCCTGTGAGTATAGAGAGTGTGAGGGGAGTTGGAGGTCTGCCCAGTTTTTAATTTTGACCTTTACAACACAAATAATATCTGAGCGGTAGTTTTGTAACTTCCTTGTTTCTATGTCATGGATGAGACAGGTTATCTCTGTCACTGTAAAAAGTCAAACACACTCACCTGAGTCGCTCTCATCTTCACAGAGGTACCGCTCACTTTAGGGATAAGAGGAAAAAGGTGCTCCTCTTTCTCTGAGATTGTCTTTATGGAGCTTACATCCATTATATTTTGTATTTTCATGTCTTCTTTGACTTGATGTCTTATTTTCATCAACTTTGTTATATTTCTTCTGAAAAGTGCCTCCTGAAGAAACTTGCCTCGTCTGTAGGAAATCAATAGATTTGGCTCATTTGTAATGTATAATATGGTTTTAGGGTGGAACTCGTTGTTGTTGGCCACTCTATTTCAACTCTATTTCCACCCAAAAAAAATAAGTCAGGGCACTGGATGGTCCTGATAGTAAGACCCTTTTAGGCAGCCCTGCATTAAAACAGACTGGACTCTGGAGTGGAAATCACTGCATGAAATCAGAATCACTTCAAAAACACAGTTCATCACTGCATCCACTAATGGTTCATACAGAAACACAGAAGGAGGAGACCAGATAGAACCAGGATCCAGAACCACCAGAGACTTCACTGAACCTGAGTCCATTCAAGATGGACTGAGGGGACGGGGTAAACTGTCCTATGGACTTATCATTGACTGTATATAAAATAGACAGAACCCCTCATATATAAGTGTGTTGGGATGTGAAGCCAACAGTCGCCTTCAGTAACAGCTTTTTTACTCCTTGGCTTTGAACACATGGTAGTGTTATTTTGTTTGTTATCATCTTCGCACTTGCCGTGAGCCTGCTTATTTATTTATTTTTGCATTTATGTATTCTTGTTCACTTTTTCTTGTTCTTTGCTTGTTTTATTTGTTTTTATGTCTCAATGTACAGCACTTTGGCTCTTTTCAATGTGCTACAGAAATAAAGTTGATTGATTGATTGATTGATTGATTGATGGGCGCTGACATATTACTGTGACTGGTGTATTGTCCCTTCTGCCAACACATTCAGTATTTAATTATTATTATTATTTTTTAAACTCCTGACTTTTGCAGATTTTTGCGATACGACAGAGTATTAGGGCCACACTAAGAGAAAAAAATTAAGACTTTGGGATTAAAGTCATTAACTAACGAGAACAAAGTCGTAATGAAGTAATCACTTATGAGAATAAAGTCCTTCTATTCTAACCTGCTGTTTAAAATGACAGTTGTTGAAATAAGAGCCATGGAGCATTTTGTGAAAATGTACTTCAATATAAGCTTCTCAAACAAGGAGATACTTCATCTTTTGGCACATTAGCACCACATTATCATATGTAATGTAGTAGTAGTTGGTTAAGAATTCATTCTCGTTAATAATGACTTATTCTCATAAATTGTTTGGAGGTAAAAGGACTAACACTGAGGTAAAACTGAATTTAAATGATGTTGACATTGAAAGAGTTTATGAAAAGTTTTTGGGAGTAATAATAGATGATAAAGTTTGTTGGAAGCCACGCATAAAATATGTAAAACAGAAATTATCCAAGTCTATTATCGCTATTCTTTATAAAACAAAAGATTTACTGAATAAGAACTGCCTTCTTCCCATCTGCTGTACTTTTCACTTGTGATGCCTTATATATGACATACTGTGTTGAAATCTGGGGAAATGCATGTAAAACGAATTTAGATCCAATAATTAAACTGCAGAAAAAAGAGCTATTAGGAGAATAAATGAAGTTGGATATCGTGACAATAAAATAAAAATTACATAACAATAAAAATTCTGGACATTGTATATTTAAAAACATTAGAAATTATGTTTGGAGTGATAAATAAGACAATTCCTGTTTGTATTTAAAAAATGTTTACGCTAAGGCAGAGGATTAATAACTGAAGGGGGCGCTAATCTTTGAAACGTACAAAGTTAGAACTAATCCAAGTACAGATGTGTGTCAGTTTGGACTAAACCATAAAATAAAGAAGAAATAAAGATTTTTCAGTTTCTGTCTGATTGGTTCTTTTGTAAAAATATGATTTTATTTTGTGTCTGTAAACCGAGATAAAAGCATTTGTTCATAAATTAATGACTTGAATCTCGAAGTCTTTTTTTTCTTCTTCTTACTGTGTTTCTAATCCTCGGTCGTATTTGACCAAACATCATTTAAACACAGTAAAGTTATCTTTGTTTGTTTGTTTCTGCCGTAAAGCAGTTTTTCTCTGTACAGTTTCAATACGTCTTACGTCTTACGCAGCACGCCGGGTACGTCACGCCTGCGTCAGGGGTCGAAGTTGAGAGGAGACGTAGGACGGCTCGTGCTTGGACGGTTCGCGGGAAACGTCCCAAAACAAACCTGCTGAGGCGGTGAGCACGCGACCACACTTCAGACGGAGGATCGGTTAATCGATTAGTGCGAGTGATCGATGTGATTTAGAGTGACGTCTCTTTCAAACCCGAGCTGTTACTGAAGGTTTTACTCCGAGGGTTTAGCGGGAAACTGAGCAGCTAGCTCCGTTTGTTAGCTTCGGCTAACCCGTTAGCATCTGTAAATATCAGGAGAAACATGGCGGAGAGGCCCGAGGACCTGAACCTGCCCAACGCCGTCATCACCCGGATCATCAAGGAGGCGGTGAGTGAACTGAGGCCGGGTTTACAGAACCTGGGTTTACAGAACCTGGGTTCGGAACCGGCAGGTGGGTTCATGTTGGTGTCTGAGTGTAGGATGGAAGGGTAAGGTCCCGCCTCCTCCGCCTCTGATTGGCTGTGAAACGTCATCATACGCTCAAACCGAGCGCGCGCTGTTGGTTCTGTACATCCAACAGAACATTATAGAACATTATCGGGATTCTGGATATCCGAACCTTCACCCGAACCCGACAGACGGTGGCGTTTCACAGACATAAGGAATAACCAATCGGAGCCCAGCACTTCTAGCCAATCAGAGGCGAAGGAGGGCGGGCCCTTCCCCTACCATCGTACGAAAATAAATCCTTCGTCTGGATGGACAAAGAGACTGATCTGAACAGGAGGAGGAGGAGCAGGGGCGAGTCTAAGGGGGAGGCCGGGGCGGGGGGACTCTTAAGGTCATGATATTTTTGACACAGACGCTCGTCCAGAACTTTGAGTTTAGTATTTTGGATCATTTCTCTGCTCGGCTGTGATTCATTTTAAAAGGTTAATCAAGAGTTTGTAAACGAGTCAAACTCATGAATGACACGGGAGTTTGTCAGGAAGGTAGATCAGATCAGAGACAGTCAGTGATTCATGTGTGTGTGAGCGTGTGAGGAGTGCGCACACACACACACACACACACACACACACACACACACACAGATACTTGTATCAGTCTCAGATATAAACTTCCTGTCAGTTCACTGAGCGGTTCTGTCTGTGGTTCTGGACTGGATCACAGGCTCTCGTTGATGACTGAGGAGACGCTCGTTTGGATGAGCGTGTCTTGTTCTGTTTCTTCTGAAGAATTCCTCTCAGATTCATTTGGTCACTCGATTTAGTTTGTGAACGACGGAAACAAAGAAAAAAACAAACCAAATGTTTTAAAATCTTCATGTTGTGCAGCTAAAAGAGACTGACTGAATGATAACCTCCATCATCCCCTCACCCCGCCTGTTTCCTGATGAAACGTGTCTTCACTCCTCCACACCGTTTGTTTTCCTCACAGCTCCCAGACGGGGTGAACGTGTCCAAAGAAGCTCGCAGAGCCATTTCACAAGCCGCCAGCGTGTTCGTGTTGTACGCCACGTCCTGGTGAGACCAAAAACCCGCATTTAAAGTCTGACAAACTCTGAATTTATTCATAAAAATCTTTATAAAAACAGAGTTCTTCGTCTTCCGTTTCAGCGCCAACAACTTCGCCATGAAAGCGAAGAGGAAAACTCTGAACGCAGGAGACGTCCTGGCTGCCATGGAGGAGATGGAGTTTGAGCAGTTCCTGGAGCCGCTCAGAGAAGCTCTGGAGGGTCAGTACGTCAGAGGAGCTTCTAGAAAATATCAAAATAAACACACGAGTTACTGAAGGGTGAAGGTGACCGAGTCTGCAGAAACACTCTGAAGGTTTCCTTTTAAATGATCATGTTTAAAATAAAAACCTGATGTCTTCTATGGAAGAGAGTTTGGATCATAATTTAAATAAAAATGAACAGAAATGTGTTTTCAGATAAAAATAAATAAATAAAATTAAAAATAAATAATCTGAACTTTTTCAAAACTGATCATTCAAATGTAAAAAAAAACTCCATTTGAGATTTAATTTTTTAAAATATGCCCCAGAAAATATGAACCAAAAAACTCCATTTGAAATGTTAAATCTGAAAATAAGAAAATGAAAATGCAGTTTGTTTTAATTATTCTTTATTTCTGATTTAAATTATTCAGTTTTGACTTTGGAACAGAAAAGCCGAACTTTGAATATTGAATATTTCATATTTTCTGGGGCATATTTAAAAAAATTAAATCTCAAATGGAGGTTTTTTTTACATTTGAATGACCAGTTTTGAAAAAGTTTGAATTTTTTTATTTTTATTTATGAGTCAAGAAGTGCAGGTACATTCTGAAAACACATTTCTCTTCGTCTATTTTAAATGATGACACTAATTTTCTTCCATAGTCTTGATCTCTGTGCGCTGTAACAGTCAGACTGGGCTGATGCTTCTGCTGAATGATCCTGTATTAGTATTAATCCTTTAATAACTGCGGTGGGAGGGAGGGAGGGGGTCCCATGTTGGTATTCTTTAGGGAGGAGCAGGAGTCCCTTCAGAGTAACACGTTCGCTCAGGACTCGCGTTTGTGTTTTACAGTTTACAAGAAAGGCCAGAAAGGAAAGAGAGAAGTTTCTGAGCAGAAGAGAAAAGACAAGGAGAAGAAGAACGACTCCGAGAACGACAAGAGCCGAGAGGAGGACGAGGAGGAGGAGGAGGAACGCATGGAGGAGGAGCCTGAGGCTGAGAACGAAGTGGAGGAGGAGGAGGAGGAGGTGGAGAACTGATGAAGCTCTGATGAACTCTGAACTTCTCACAGACAGGATGTGATGCGTTTAAGTGCTGCTGGGTCATCAAAGAGCCGCCATGACAGTGATCACAGGTAACCGAGTTCAGGGGACTCTTATTTTGGCGGGGCGGCAGCTGTCTTCCAATGAGAAACAAAAGCACCAAGTCCATCAGCACTTCCTCCTTTTTTTAAAAAATATTTCTGCTTCTTCTTCTCCTCATCCAAACAACAAACATCAGTTTTAGAAAAATGCTTTTCCACCAGTCGACCACAAGAGGGCGTGAGAACCCCATCAGGTTAAAGACTGCAGAGTCTGAGAAATGTGAACATGCTCCAAACTTTGGTCAGAAAACGTTTTTGGGTTGAGATGGAGGAGTGTTTCCTCAGACACACAGATCTAGAGTGTGGACAGCCTGAGGGGTAAATCTAGGATGTTTGTTGTCTGGAGCGGCTTTAGTGTTTCAGAGCGTCACAGTCAAATGTTAGGAGCTGTCGGCCTTTTCTAGATCTGAACTGTTTGTACTTTTGTAGATTTGTTTTTGATGGTCCAGATTGTTAATAAAATATTTTGTATGAAAGTTAAACTGCATGAATGATGGATGAGTTCAAAGGTCACACAGATCACAGCTGATGGAGGAGGATGAAATAACCGCCGTCATTAAACCTCCTCTACGGACGCCGAGAACCGCCACTGCTGCAAGTAAAAAAAGAGCCACAACGAAGTCAGTAACGCAAAAAAAAAAAAAAAAGTTACTCAGCGAAAATAAAAGGAAGCAAATAGAAAAAAGCCACGATGGAAGTGGATGGTGGATCAGAGCGTCAGCCGTGATGCGGACGCTTAACAGATCAGTGGTGGTGAAGAAAGAGCTGAGCCGTAAGGAGAGACTCGATTTACCGGCCGATCCTCACCTATGGTCATTAACTTTGGGTAATGATTGTAAATTAGTGCAGATTTAATTAGATATGACCTCATTTACAAACAGAACATTTGACTGAACCTGTAATAAAAAAAAGATTTGTCTTAATGTAAGTTATAAACTCTGGAAGTTTCATGCTGATATCTGTTAAAATTTTTACCGTTTACCGAGGGGGTCTCCCCGGGCTTCCTACCATCATGGACGCCATCTTGAAAATGACGCCTTTCTAGTGGTCAAACTTTGGTAAACTTTGAGTTTGTTATTAAGGACGTCTAATACTATAAAAAACAGCTGAGGAACCTTTGGTCGAACTTTTTTAGGGTCATATTTGCACCCTCACAGCCTTCAGTCAAACTGGACCGGAGTTTGAGTCGCGGTACCATCAGTGAAGCGGGTCAAAAACGGGTCAGACACAGAGCTCAGCGTTTGTTAACATTTTATTCTTATTTGGTCCAGTTACTCAGAGGGACACTCAATTTTGCCGCTGTTGATGTCATCGATGATGTCATGAGGAGGACGACCATCAACGGAGCAGCCGACAGACTGAGCGGTTCCCAGGATCTCCTTGATGGTTCCTGAACAGAAGAAACGCAGATGGTTAGAAGAAACTCGCCGTGAAATTCAACTCTGAAGACTGGTTTTTATGGTGAAATGTTCCAGACTTTTCGGCACAGAGCGGTCCACCATCAGTGAGAACAGCTCTGTTTCCTAAAGTTGGGTCACTCTGAGCCTCCACTGGATTATACTCAGTCACGGGGACAGACAGGCATAGTGGCGGGAGGCTGACAGAAGCAGCTGGACTCTGAAGAGGATCCTCCAGCAGAGGAACCAGCTGGTTTCAAGTCTCACCTGAGAGCTCTCTGGCGATGGAGCGAGGCCTCATGACGCGGGCGACGCCCACGATCTCATCGAAGGTCACACTCCCGCTGTGTTTGACTGAAAGGCGAATTAAAAAACAGTTTAAATTTAATTTTTATTTCACTTTAAAAAAGAAAAGAAAGCCCGGACGGTCACTTACTGTTCTTGACCTTCTTCCTGTCACGAGGAGGCTCCTTCAGAGCTTTGATGATCAGGGCGGACGCAGAGGGGACCACCTCGATCTGGAGGACAGAAGACAGACATCAGACCGGCCTCCACAGGGTCATGTGACCAACGAGTGTGATGTCAGCGTACTCACCGCGGCCTGTCTGTTCTGGATGGTCAGCTTCACCGTGATCCTCAGACCCTTCCAGTCCCCGGTGGCCTTGGCGATGTCGTCACCGACTTTCTTGGGAGACTGAAGAAAAAACAAGATCGAAAATTTATGAAAAACCGAAAATTCACAAACGTCTGGAGTTACAAATTCAGAAGGTTTAAGATCCACTCTGATGAAGATCTGGACTTTGTTGTCAGAGTGTTCAGAACATTTTTCTGATAAAGAAAACGAAGAACAAAGTTTCATTTCTGAGGATTTCTTCTCTCAAATCTCTGAACCTCTGACCGACTCAAACGGCAGGTTCAGACACAGCGAGATTTCCTACATCACTAATCCAAGCTCCGCCCCCGACGCCCCGCTTTGCAGACCGGACTGAGAAACAGAGGACAATCGCAGAACAAGAGTGTGCTTTACAAAACTAGTTATGACATAAACTTTCGTCTCCAAAGACGTGAAGAATAAATTAAATTATCAGAATGAGGTCATCCAGGGCCCGACAGTGTGACTGTTTCACTGCGACTAAAAATAGATAGATAGACTATAAAAATGTATTTAGGGTCACGTGCGCAATTAAAAAAAAATCAAACTTTTTTTTCCTGTAAATACGGCGGTGAAGTTAGTTTCAGGTTGGATATATTTTCCTGTAAATACGGCGGTGAAGTTAGTTTCAGGTTGGATATATTTTCCTGTAAATACGGCGGTGAAGTTAGTTTCAGGTTGGATATCTGACGGACATTCTCTGAGGATCTACCGGTGTCTTCTCACTCTCCATAACCAGGAATAACAACAGCAGCGCGGTTAAATCTACTCGACACCCTCACTGTCAACGTCGGTGTTGAATAAGGGACCGTCAATAAATTACCGGTTGATGTTCTCAGAAAAGGCTGTTTTCCTTCAATAGCTTCACTGTCATGTGACCAAAAGACCTAAAATTGATTTCTAATAATAGTACTGAGGTCGATCAATAAGACAAACATTATTTGATAAAGTCTCAGCAGTAGAGAAAAACACCAGGTTGGAACTCGAGCCTCAGAGTCTCTGTGTCCCAGGAGCTGAAGACCATCAGCGCCTCAGGGACCTGTGAGGGTCTAACATGAGGGTCAGGTTTGGTTTCGGCCTCTCCTTCGCTCTTCACCGGGTTTGTTTGTTCCAGACTTTTCGGCACAGAGCGGTCCACCATCAGTGAGAACAGCTCTGTTTCCTAAAGCCGGGTCACTCTGAGCCTCCACTGGATTATACTCAGTCACGGGGACAGACAGGCATAGTGGCGGGAGGCTGACTTTGGTTTCTATGGAGACAGACATCAACACTCACCAAACCCAGAGGTCCGATTTTGGGGGCCAGGGCGGAGGTGGCGCCCACTTCTCCTCCTGTGCACCTCATGTACACTGAGAACGAGAGACAGAGGGAGGGAGGGGAGGAGAGGAGCAAATTAATCATACATTTTATTTATAACGCGCTTTTAAAAGGAGCTCACAGATGCTTTACAAAAAAATGATTTAAAATACAGAAAATTCAGAGTAATAAGACCAACAATGTAAAAGGTTAAAAAAGACAATAAAGAGAAGAGTTCACAGGTTAGAAGTTGTTTTAAAAAGGTGTTTTTAGGAGTGATTTAAAAGTATAACGGTCTGTATAGATTGAAAACACTGACGTCATTCCCCATTAAACATTCAGATCTGATACACACACTCTCTTCACACTTCTAACTTCACCAACACCCACTGACAGCTGATCTTCAGACACAGATCTGACATCCCAAACTTCAGCGGTTCTGAATCGGGTCCTGAACGTCCATTTGACTTCATTTTAATTAAACCATTATCTGGGTCTAAACTGTTCTGCAGAACCGGACATGATCAGGGTGCTGTCCACCGTCCCTGAAAGACCCATCAAAACATAAGGATGATAAATCAATAATTATTACTGAACTTTAATGAACCCTGAACTGCTGCTGGTTTTAGAAATGTAGATCCTCTGGTCCGGGTCTGAAACTGGACCCTGATCTGGTTTCAAGTTTTGATCTTTTTAATGAAGACCTCCAGATATCCATGATTAAAATAAAGTAACCCTTTAACGCCTGAAGACGCAAATCAAGGCCAGATAATTCAATTTTTTTTAGCTTAAATGTTTATTTCATTTATTACTGAAAACCAAAACAATCGAAGTGTCCTGAAAATGTAACTAATGTGTTTCTTGATCCGGTTTGATAAATCAGATGTTTTTGGAAACTGATAAACCAAAAGGACACTTTTCCTCATTTATCGACTGTATTCAGGCGTTTTATTTAGTGATTTGTTGATCTGATTGATTCGACAAAAGTAAAACTTTATATCAGATATGATGCAAAGGCATTAAAGGGTTAACAATGATTCAGACCTGTTTCTGTAACTCAGTCATCCTTTCACACGACTCTAAGAACTAAGATTTAATTTAGACATGATCCTGTTTAAAGGGGTTTACAAAAAGACCACCTGAGACCTGAGACCGTCTGCCAAATGTAGTTGAATTAAACATGATCTGTCTGAAAGTGAACGGCTGCTCTAACAGTCAGAAACAGGCGGTACCTGAACAGAACAATCTGACCCGTTTGGGTTTTTCCAGTTATTTCTGATTAAACTGTCAACTCCTGAATTTAAGACAGAAAACAGAAAATAAAGAGCCAACAGTTCTACCCTTTAGTTTTCTGGACACATTATTGAACTTGTAACTCCCAGATAAATCATTAACGGTATTTCAGCTCCTGATATTTAGTAAGGATTTTAATTAAATGTTTAAATGACATTAACTGATGAAATCTCACTGCAGGAACGGTGCATAAAGCCTTTGCCGTTTTGTTTCTTCGGCATGTGTAATTTGAAGGAGTAAGCTCAAAGACAAACGTACAGATTTGTCACAAACTGAAGTCGATAATTTTAGTGAAATCAAATCTGATTTATGTTCTTTGACTGCAGGTTAGTTCACAGGATTGTGGACCTTCATGGAGGACTTCTGACATGTGAAGATGAAAAAAACATGTCATATTATTGTAATATAGTATTGCTGTACATTAAATTTAATACTACTGTAGTGTCAATGAAGTATTACTGTAGTTTTAATACAGAAGTTTAAAGTCTTCCTGTGGTTATATTATAGTATTACTGTAGTTTTAATATACATTACTGTAATTTAAATACAGTAGTTTTGATATAATATCACTGTAGTTTTACTGAAGTAGTAGTATAGTTTGAATACAGGATTTTTAATAAAGTATTACTGTAGTTTTATCGTATATATTCTGACTGGAAACTTTTTACTGTGAAAATATTCTGGGTGCAAATAGCAAAAACTATTTCAGGTATAAATGCTGTTATATATGTGTCTTCAGATTTAGCAGAACACAGGTCAGTAATAATATCAAATCTGAGATCATATTAATCTATAATCTTTACATATTTCTGTTAACTTAAACGGATCATTTAAAACACCACTGAAACTATACATGAACAAAGGTTTGACCTAATAAATAAATCTCAATATTTTCAGTTGAACTCCATCCTAAGACACAAATATTCTCCTTTATAAACTTTTTTAACCGGATATTTTAACATTAACCAACGTTAGCCATGTTAGCATTAGCATCGAGCTAGCCTCTTCTCCCACGTGGGATCGACCACAGACCGAGACCAGAACCAGAACCAGATCATTAAACCTTTAAACTTTGAACACAGCCCTCCTAATAAACATATTAAACATGCAGGGATCATTTTCAGACATGTTTAGAGTTTTTATCGTCGAGTTTCGTGTCCCGTCTTTACCGTGTTCCCGCCTCCATCTTAGCTTCTGCGGTTTTAAGCGCCACTTTTCAGAGAAAACGTACCAACTTTAATCTCGTTGGGGTCGAATTTAGGAGGCATGGTGCTGCTGGGGTGGAGGTTGAGCTCAGTTCAGCTTGGGTGGTGAGGGTGTCGGATGAACCCGCAGTCGGGACGACCGATTACTGTTGCACCTTCACCGCTACAGGGAGAAAGAAAGGCCGAGGACGGCGGGCCGAGGCTTTTTATACCTCTGTGAAGTATCGCGAGAGGATATGTGACCGCTCACTCACGTGATCATCTCTGTACTGTTGTTGTGGTTTAGTAAATAAAGGAGCCTGTTAACCAGCGGCCTGAGAAGAAGCTGAAATTAATGAAGTTTAAGACTCAAAACACAGAAAAACATATAGACGAGCCATTATACGGAGGCTGAGAAACGACACTGCTGCCAAAAAAAAAGAATGTAAGAAAAAAAAAGAGCTCACAATAGAGGTTACCGATGCAAAAAAAAAAGAAAGAAACTGAAGCCTGCTGCAAATAAAAAAGAAAAAAAAAACGCAATAGAAGGTCACGCCTCAAAAAAAAGTTGCAATGCAATGAAAAAAGAATGCAAAAAAAAAGCTCACAATTGAGTTACTTACTGCGAAAATAAAAGGATGCAAATAAAAACAGTCACAATGGAAGTTACTGATGCAAAAACAAAAAGTAGAAGGAAGGAAACTGAAGCCCGCTGCAAATTTAAAAATAAAAAGTGCAGATAATAAAATTTTAAAATAAAAAAATTGCAAAGGAAGTTCACGCCTCAAAAAAAAGGGGCAATGCAAAAAAGAAAAATTTCCTTACTGCAAAAATAAAAGGATGCAAATAAAAAACATTCACAATGGAAGTTACTGATGCAAAAAAAAAAAAGAATATTAAGTCCACTGCAATTAAAAAAAGAAACATACAGGTAAAAATATATATATATATGGAGGATGCCGGTGTAGTGTTAGCTTTAGTTAGCTTTTATTAGCTTGTATTTTTCGCAGAAAGTAATTTTTTTTCTTGCATCGCCACTTTTTTGCGTCGTAAACTTCTGTTATGGCTTTTTTTTTATCAGCACTGTTTCTTTCTTCACTGTTTATTTGCAGCAGGCTTCATTTTCTTTTTTTTTTTTACTTTGCATTGGTAAGTTCCATTGTAACTTCTCTTTTTTTATTTGCAGCAGTGGTGGTTCTCGGCCACCGTAGCATTCGTGGAGAAATGAGAAAACTTGGTGCCTTCAGTCAAAGTGTAAATGTAGAGGTTACTCTATTACAAGAGAAGGTTTCTGAGTTTAAACACTGGACTTAAAAAAATATATGTACCTCAGATCATCGTTTTATTTTCACATGATTGTTTTGTAGCTTCTTTTTTCTCTCTCTAACACTCATGTAGGTCACCAACAGGCTGATAAGCACCACAGTGTCAGGTGTGCCCCAACATGTAATACGCCCCACAATGAAAACTCACCGTTGAGAGAGCTTCACAACATACAAATATGAATATTTAAACAAACAGCCAACAAAAACACAGATAAAAAAACTAAATACAACAACAGAAAACTTTCTGTGCTTAACAACCAAAAACTAAGGCGCTGCTCTCACACTGAACGCTGGTTTCAGCCTCCTTCATTTTTCTTTTGTCTACATTTTGCTCTTTATTGTATTGTATCTTGGCTATTGTGTTATTTTTTATTTATTGTATTTTGATTCTTGGCTTGGAAACAGACCTGGGTACTAATTTCGTTCCACAGACTGTCAAAGGTGTGGGTTTGACAAATACAGTTCCTTGAATCCTTGAATCCTTGAATCCTCGAACCCTCGCAGTCAGAGTCTGAGGAGAGAAACTGTAAATCTCTTCCTCTCAGTTTTTACTGAAGGTCAGTTCTGTTGAAAATACCTCAGTAATTCACAGGAACAGAGTCTGAGTGAAAACAGAAGCAGCTGAAAGCTTCCTGCAGCAGAGCTCCTGTTTCTGTAAATGCAGCAGATTTTTGGTGCTTCAGCCTGTTTGATCATGTAATTCATGATCATCGCGGCTGTTTGGGGGGAGTTTCTGTTAGTTTGATGTTTGAGTTTGGAGGCTGAAGTTATTTTCTGAACGGTTCATGAACTCAGAGGAGGCCAGAGTGCTGCATGTGGGTGCTAAGTGGATGAACATCCTCCATGCAGGATAATGGGCCTGAAGCTGGCTGAGTGGCTGCTGCAGGAATATAACGGTATTATGTCAGTGTTTGTTTGGAGAGCGCTCCTGCAGGTGTTTGCACGGCCGCTGCTGTATCATCATCACCAGGCTGTTGAGTCGGTCTGAGTTCAGTGTAAAAACCGACGTTTCCTCTTTGATTCCTGCAGGACTTTTGACTCAGAGCTGCAGGACGGGAATAGAAACAGAACACAAGAGGGAGTAAGTGGGAGAGATCGGCTCTGTTCTGCTGTTTAATATGCATCATGAAAATCTGTGAGCAGAGTCACAAATTCACAGCTCATATGATCAAAAGAGAAACTTATCTGTTCTTTCAGAAAGTCCACAACAGTCTGAGGGAAAATGTCACGTCTGAATAATCTCCTGAAGGAACCTTCAGAGCTCTGAGGCTGCTCTCTGAGCTTTGGTGTTGAAGAACGATAAGAAATGTTTGATTCTCTCTCCTCTGCTGCTGAAACACTCTGTGTTTTTTCTCAGTTTTCCTCTTCCATACAACTTCAGCGACGTCACTTCAGCGACGTCACTTCAGCGTGTGTGTCTGACTGGGAGGACAGAGGAGAGGAGAAGTCTCGTTGTTTCCTTACTAACTGAAGTGTAATGAAGAAGAAAAGCTGATCATTCAGATTTCTCACAGTCTGAATTAATCACATCTCCTCCTCATGACTGTCAATTCATCTGTGAGCTCGTCTTCAGTCTTTGTTTCTGACCCGCAGGATCAGAACCGCCAACAGGAGACACCGACAGGAGACACCGAAGGGTCCAGAGAGAGGGACACCTGTGTGTGTGTGTGTGTGTGTGTGTGTGTGTGTGTGTGTGTGTGTGTGTGCCGAGAACCGCCACAGCTGCAAATAAAAAAAGAATGAAAAAAAAAAGAAGCCACAATGGAAGTTAACGACGCAAAAAGAAAATGTTACTTACTGTGAAAATAAAAGGATGCAAATAAAAAAAAAGCCTCAACAGAAGTTGAACAGAAGTTAACTCGACACCGACATCCTCCAGTTTAACTCCATATGGACTCAGGCTCTACACGGTCGAACCACAGGACAAATAAAAAGTTTACAAAGTCAAATTAATCAATAACCTTTACACCTATTTCTTTGCTCGTCTTCTCGCCGTCGTCTCCTGTGCCTAGATCATAAAACACCGGTGTAACATCATTATTGGTCCCCGACAGCTCACTTCTGTTGTGGCTTTTTTTTTTTTTTAATCTGCATGGTTTCTTTTTTTTATTTGCAGCGGGCTGCGGTTTCTGTCTTATTTTGCATCGGTAAATTCTCTTCTGGCTTCTTTTTTTCTGCAGCAGTGGCGGTTCTGGGCCACCGTAGAATGCCCCTCCCTGAGTGAAAACGAACACTGATCACACTTTTATTTGAAGAGTACTGTCAGACAATAAGACAGGAATGAGGAGCAGAAGGTCAACAAAAGCAAATGGACCAAAAATCACAAAGTTGTAATGAAATAAGTGATAAAACGTGAATTTATCAGAGGAGGAGATTTCCTATGAAGGCTTGTCTGGAGTGTTTGTGTGAAATTCGGGGCGGACTCTCTGATCTCCTCTGACAGGTTCTCCTGAAGTCTGAGCGCCATGACAGCACCTTCAGTTTGGACTTTGGAACCGCCAGCAGAGCAGGAGTGAGACGACCCCGGACAGCTGAAACTCAGTGTTTGTATTGATCTAAATTATAAAGTGATTTTTTTTTTCCAGAGTTGAAAACTTACAGAAGAAAGTTTCATACGAGCTTTCTCCGTCCTAAAGATGAAAACTTAAAAAACATCTTTAAAACATTAAAACATCTTCATATTCGACCAAATTGAAGTCATGATGAAGTCGAATCTAATCCAGTCGACACAGAGGAAGCTGCTGCAGTTGTTATGAGCAGAGATATTTATCATGGGGCTCTATGGGGACTGACTGACTTTGGGGCCTCTGGTGGACACTGAAGGTATTGCAGATTTTTTTCAAACTGCAGGTTCCTGTTGGATTAACTCTGATTTCTTTTTAGTGATTGACAGATCAAAAATGTTGCCAATCCAAAAAAACAAAAAACAAACACCTTTTCATAAAGAGTGATGGATCTTCACAGCGTGTTCACGCCCACGTTCACACGGTCCAAGAAGAAAACAAACCCTGTTACCCTGAGAGGATCCCAGAGAGACTCTCATCTGTCTCCACTAACATGCAGATGAGAAATATTTGAATCTCCTTTTCTGATCCCTCCTTTCATCTCCATCTTCACAGGAGTGCAGACTGTGTTGCTTTATCGTGTGCTAACTGAAGTGAAGATTGAAGTTTCCTCCTCGGAGCCGTCAGCGGGCGTGTTTACAGATCGACACGGTTGAAAGACAGAAATCTAAAGACAATTTCTTCCCCTCTTTTAAATTCAGTTAAAGGAGACAGGCAGCAGCGTGTTTAGTCTCCAGTCCCTCCTGAATATAACAGACTTGAGGAAAAATCAATAGAGGAAATTGTACAGCAGAGAGAGAGAGGGGCGAGAGAGAAGAGCTGCTGATTACAAAAGAGAAGGAAAAGGTCAAGAAGGACGAAGAGACGAGGAGACGAGAGAACTGCTGAAATCGAATCATTCCCCCGAGTTTAACAAATGAGCCGAGTGTGTGTGTGTGTGTGTGTGTGTGTGTGTGTGTGTGTGTGTGTGTGTGTGTGTGCGTTAACATTGGCTCTGTGCTCTTGCTCCAGGCTCTCCGTTTGTTTATGCAGAGATAACAGCTGGCTCTCACCCTTTACCCTCCGCTGAGTCTCTGTGTTTTGGTATCCTTCTGAGGACCCTCACTAACATCACGCACTAAGAAAAACCCGCATCATTGAATGTCGAACACTTTAAACAAATCAAGATTAACAAAATGGAGCAGATGCAAAAGCTGCAGTACCTTTAGTGTCCACTAGAGGTCGTGTCCTGCAGTGAGTCAGCCCCCATAGAGCTCAGTGTTAAAACTTTACAGCAGAAATAAACAGGTTTACAGTCTGGAACAGGAACAGTTCGGACCTTAGCCCCGCCTCCACTGATTCTGGATCAGCAGGACGTCAGATGTAGTCACCCCCCCCCCGACCTCCACCTTCATCCTGATCGTCTCCTAAAAGGTCGTATCCTCCGATCGTAGCTGATCGTAACCATTCTAGTTAACGTGTCAATTTACACCGACTTCTTTCCGTTCCTCTGTGGATCGCCGGACTCCTCAGCTGATCACAAGAGTTCTATTTTTTCTGGACGCCGGAGCATGGCGGATAAATTCAGCACAGATTAACCCGTGCTGGAAAGGAAGTCGGGCACAGACACAAAATAAAACATCCGGCTTCTTTTCAAAATAAAACACTCCGTGTTTCAGGAGGATCGTATTTCACACCATGCAAACGGGCGGAGACGAACAAGTGAAAGGTTTTTAGACGTCATTTCACCCCGATGACACCATGGATGAGGAGATGCTGATTCTAGAAGTCTAGAAGTAGATTTCCTCCTCTGGAAGGACACAATCTACTGCTTATATGTCTATGTGTCTGTCTTTATAGAGACAACTCGTTATCGTGCGTTTGAACGTGAATCTGCAGGTTCTTGTGAGTTCTCGAGATTACCGCTGTCCTTAATCTGCCATGATTTTCACCTCACAAACGGATCCAGTAGAAATTGGTGGACAGTGAAAACTGGGAGTATTTCTGATTGTGGCGATGGAAGGCGGCTCGTTCCTCAGAAGTTCAGATGAAAGTTTAAATCTGAAGGTTGGACAAACTCAGAGTTAGTCAGGGTTTAGTGGTTCCAGGCGGTGAGTCTGAACGATGACGATCTGCCCACAGGTGACTGACAGGACGGTTAAAGTAAAAACTTTTGTTTGAAAGCGTCTGTGACTGCAGAGACAGAAGACGGGACACCTCCACCAGAACTGGACGACACATCTGAGACAGCAGACCGTGTGTCTGAACCGTGGACCCGGTCCAACAGCAGACCGTGTGTCTTTGTTTACAGCAGGACGCTCTCTCTTTAACACTCTGTCCTTCCAGGATCTGTCAGCGTGTAAACCGAGTCAGGCTGATCATCAGTAACTGTAAGGAGACACCTGGCCCACGTAATCCGATTCCTCACCCAGGGTCTCCTCCTCCTCCTCCTCCTCCTCCTCGTGTGGACTTCCTCTCTTTCTTCATCCCATTATGAGAAACAGGAGACGGACAGGAGCGGCACCAACAGACAGGAGCTCGCATGTTAAATGAAGCTCACGTCAACATGTCGCCTTAATGAGAAACAGCGAGTCGGCTCCTGGAGACCGGAGGAGGACGGGGTGGAGGGGAGGAGGACGGGAGGAGGGGAGGAGGGGAGGAGGGGAGGAGGGGAGGAGGTTAATGAAGGAGTGTTTGTGTGGAATCAGGACAGAGTTATCAGGAAACACGTCCTCATGAGACTTAGGACAAAATGAGACAGAGCCGAGGGGTGTCCTCAGGAGAGCAGGAGACTCCACTGAACCGTGGTAACCTCATAACCAGGAGACAGAGGAGACAGAGAGGGCTGAGAGACAAGAGACAGAAGAGACAGAGGAGACAGAGAGACAAGAGACAGAAGAGACAGAGGAGACAGAGAGGGCTGAGAGACAAGAGACAGAGAGGGCTGAGAGACAAGAGACAGAGGAGGCTGAGAGACAAGAGACAGATGAGACAGAGGAGGCTGAGAGACAAGAGACAAGAGACAGAGGAGGCTGAGAGACAAGAGATAGAGAGGGCTGAGAGACAAGAGACAGAGGAGACAGAGGAGGCTGAGAGACAAGAGACAAGAGACAGAGAGGGCTGAGAGACATGAGACAGAGGAGACAGAGAGGGCTGAGAGACAAGAGACAGAGGAGGCTGAGAGACAAGAGACAAGAGACAGAGAGGGCTGAGAGACAAGAGACAAGAGACAGAGGAGGCTGAGAGACAAGAGACAGAGAGGGCTGAGAGACAAGAGACAGAGGAGACAGAGGAGGCTGAGAGACAAGAGACAAGAGACAGAGAGGGCTGAGAGACAAGAGACAGAGGAGACAGAGAGGGCTGAGAGACAAGAGACAGAGAGGGCTGAGAGACAAGAGACAGAGGAGGCTGAGAGACATGAGACAGAGAGGGCTGAGAGACATGAGACAGAGGAGGCTGAGAGGGCTGAGAGACAAGAGACAGAGGAGGCTGAGAGACAAGAGACAGAGGAGGCTGAGAGACATGAGACAGAGGAGGCTGAGAGGGCTGAGAGACAAGAGACAGAGAGGGCTGAGAGACATGAGACAGAGGAGGCTGAGAGACATGAGACAGAGGAGACAGAGAGACATGAGACAGAGGAGGCTGAGAGACAAGAGACAGAGGAGGCTGAGAGACAAGAGACAATGAAAGGCTGCGAGCCTCTGAGAGACCTGAAGGTGGGGGTCCTGTGGTCTGCCCTCAGACCTGCCCGCTGAGGTCTTGGACTCTCATGGTCTCTGTTTTTGTCTCTGTTTTGAAAACCGCAGACTGCTCCTTTAATTCTCTCATTAACTGTCATAGTGTCGTCTAGTTCACTTGTCTGTCAGAGTGTGGGAATCTACAGCTCTGATCCACTCAGCGAGGACGCTCACGGTCCTCAGGTCGTATCCCAGCATGCTCTCTGGTTTCTCCGGATTACCGTCTAATCCCTGATATTCATCAGCCATGGGGTCAAAGGTCATTTTATTACTAATGCGGTGTGATCTGGATGGCGCTGCTCTGAGCTCAGACTTAAATCAACACCAGCATGATGACTGTGATCATTTCCTCCTCTAATCCCTGACCTTTGACCTCAGGATGTCATTTTCACACCTGACTGTGAGCTGACAGGTGTGTGCGGGGCGTAAAACACCGATAAATGGGTGTTTTCAGTGAACGCATCACAGACTGACTTTAAACAGCGTCACATCAGTCAGTGAACGCACCACCGTTAAAACCCGTCTCTGGGCTGCAGGGGGATTGTGCTCGGCTCTGTCCAGGGTTCGAGTCCCTCTGCTGCATGTTCCTCCTGACACGCTGCACCATGTGGGTCAGTGAGTGAATGCAGCAGTGTTCACCAGTAGGGGAGAGCGGGGTAAGATGATCCATGTTTCCGGGTCAGTCCATCCTAGTTCTGTCTCTAACTCGAGTCTCTGCAGATATTTCAGGAAGTTCTTCATCAGAATGAGAGTAAACAGAACTGTCATCTTCAGAGGAGAGCAGGACAACAACAGGGTCTCCTGTGGTCAACTTACCCCGGGTATGGGGGGGGGGTAAGTTGAAAGATTCAGTATTTTTTTATCAGGACTGATCTTGATGAAGAGATCAGAGAAAAAAAAGTAAAAAAATATCCTTGTGATTTTTTTTACAGCAGCTAAAGTTAGAGGACAAAAACAGCCGGAAGAGAAGTGACTGAGAACATCCACAGATCTGTATTCATGAAACAGTTTCAACAGTCTGAAGGTAAACTCTGATCCTCTCCTCAGACTCCTTTACTGTCTCTGTTCTCATAGATGGAGCTCATAGAGACCACAATAGATGAATAAACAGATTTAAAATGATCTTTACTTCTAATCAAACTGATGACTAAAGACTAAACTCACTTTACAGACTGAAGAAAAATGTTTTTTATTAAATAAATGTCTAACCTCTTCTTCACCCATGAGCTTCTAACCTTCACAGACTCCATGAATTGATGACCATCTCCTAAATATTTGGTCACATGATCAATTTCTTTAACCATTTACAAGAAACAGAGGTTGGCTCAACCGACCCCAGTCTCCCCTACCCCAGTGTGTGTACGTCAGTGTGTAGACATGTCTCTGATCAAATGACTGAGGAGCTCCATGTAGGAAAATGAGTGTGAACTGATCTCTGTGGAAGAGGACGTCCTGATCTACATCTGTGTGATAAAGAAGGTCCGAGCAGGTGGTGGTCATGTGATCATGAAATCATCAACATTTGAGAAGCAAAGACTTCATGCAAAATACTGACAGGCTGACCCTAAACACTATTAGTCAAATCACACACACACACACACACACACACACACACACCTGCATCTGTTCAGCACAGACGCAAATCAGTGATGACATAATGCTGTGTGTGTGTGTGTGTGTGTGTGTGTGTGTATGTGTGTGTGTTTTAATAATCCTCTCTATATTTGGACAAACTCCGTCGATCATGTTTTCATTCCTTTTAGTACAGCAGCTCCATCTACACTGTAAAAAACACACTTTTCAGTCACTGAACTTTATTTAAAGGGATATTCTGTCTTAAAACTAATTTAGGGTCAAACCCACCATAACACCGAGTTAGACCCCCCCTCCAGAGATGAATGTTGTCGACCGCTTCCTTCTCTAGTTATACCAACTTTAGTAACGACCGCAGGATAGTAATACAGGGAGCCACGCCCTCAACCAAAACGCCACTCTATAGCCACAAATAATGCTCAGAACAGCACCTAACTTCATCAACAGGACATATAGGGTCACAGACATAGTACTAGACACCAAACATCTTTTTAACTTTGACTCATTTCTTTAACAAAGAGACTAAACACAACTCACCTACTCTCTTCCAGTCCATTACAGACTACAGCGGGGTGCCGCAGCTCAAGGAAGAACATTTATGATCATTTTCAATAATCATAAATGTTCTTCCTTGAGCTGTGTCACCCCGCTGTAGTCTGTAATGGACTGGCCTGAGTTCTCCCTACAAACAAGTGTCTGCTGGCAGAGAGTAGGTGAGTTGGGTCTAACTTGGTGTTACGTGTGTTTGACCCTAACTTAATTTTACTCTGGAATATCCCTTTAATATCAGCTCTCAGATTTTATTCTCGTTAACGTTTCTCTCTCTCTGTGTTTTAATCTTGGAGGATTTCTGTTTCGCTGCTTCGATGTGATTTTTTACAGTGTAGAAAAGTGAAGAGCTGTAAATGGGAGGGAGGAGGGTGTAAAGAGGAGGAGGAGGAGGAGGAGGGTCCTGCTGTCAGACACAGAGGAGGAGACAGCGGCGGAGCTCCTCCGTTCAGTCCTCATCTTCTCTCCTCTTCGGTCCGTCGAGCTGAAACCTCCAACATCTCCTCAAAGTCCGGAGCTTCTCCCCGGGATGCTGCAAACTTCAGAGCGGATCTGTGAGCTGTAAAACCCGCTGTCTGTGCGCGCGGGGCTGGTCAGTGAGAGCCAATGAGATCAATTAACACTGATGAGGATCGATGAATGAGGAAGAGCAACAGATGAGAAGAAGACGAGAGAGCTGACGGAGCTGAGGCAGTCCGCATGCGCCCTCTGAGGTCAGTGTTGGAGCCAACTGTCCCTGAAAAACCAGAACCTGAACATTTAAGAAGAACCGGGTTTATTTAGGGTCTGTTTCTGTCAGTTAGAGAGTCTGAGTTTGGACCTCCTGCTCTACAGAACCACCTCTGTTTCCGGTGTCAGGAGAACTTCTCAGTCTCATCTCATAGTTTGACTCTCTGTCAGGATCAGACCTTCAGGTTCAGGATCAGACCTTCAGGTTCAGGTTCTTCACAGACCGACCACCATCCGGAGGTTTCTCATGTGTTCAACTCGTTTTACGAACAACATCAAAAATATTCATGTGAGAGAAAAACGATTTTAGTAAAACAAGAAGAAAGAGTTAAAACCGGAATTTAGGCTGTGAGATATTTTAACAGGGGAAGTGATGGAGGGAATATTTGATAATAATAAAATAATAATCATAATAACAACAATAATAATAATTATTATTATTTCTATTAGTTTTCTTATTTTATTACGATTATTGTTGATTTTATTATTATTATTAGTATTATTAGAATTATTTCTACTAGTTTATTATTATTATTGTTGTTGTTGTTTTTATTATTACTATTATTTCTACTATTATAATTATTTATTTATTTTATTATTATTATTTCTACTAGTATTATTATTATTATTATTATTATTATAAGTGGTAGTATCAGCATTAATATTGTTATGAATATTATTATTATCATTATTATCATTTATTGTCAATATTATCATTGATTATCATTATTATTTATATCTATACATATTACCGTGATCCAGTGCCCTTTTAAACAGAGCTGACCGTGTCTACTGTTTCCATTAAAACTTCTTTTTAAAAATTTATTTATTATTATTTTTATATAAAAGCACCATCAGCTGATCAATAATAACTGTGTCAGAGTAAGATCAGAGTTATTGATCCCCCAGAGATGCTCATCAGGAAATATCATCATTACAATCATGAAGCTTCACTCCACTTCATTAATGTCAAACTTCTGTTAAATGAATTATCAAATATAATTATTCTTTGATCCCAGGGGAGAACTGTGCGTGCCACCACTCAGAGAAGGAAATCATGATCTCTATATTTACATAATCCAGATTAAAGTTCACGATAACTGAATAGAACTACATTCATATATATGAGCTCATTAAAAAGACTCTGTGTGAGTTTTCTGAGAGGGGAACCAACCGGCCCAGCACCTCATTAAATGATTAAATTAAATGTTAATTAAAGGATCTTTATCAGTTAAAACACTGGAACTAAAACCCACCTCACATGAGGAACAGAGCTGAGTTTACCGCCCACATCGGCTTTATTTACTCTGTGTTTGTTAGCATGTCGGGTCAGAATCAAATACTGCAGAGGTCCGAGTTCGTCCCGGGGTCAGTTTAACGAGAAGAAAGCGAAGAGCAGGATGAAAACAGCGTTCGATGATTCCTCTTGTTTTTGGGTCAGTGGATCAAAAGCTGCTCTGTCGGCTGGTTTTCCACCCCTGAGAGCTCGGTGTAAATTTAACACCCTAACACCAACACTGGGTCAGAGCGTCCCACTGATACCAGAGAAACCTGACCCAGAAGAACATCGGCGCTGTTTGTGAGTCTCAGATAAACACGAGGAGCGGAGGAACCGAGAACAGGAAACACTCAAGATCTCAGAGTCGGTCACTCAGTATTCAACATTTCAGTACAAGATAATGAACAAGTGAAACTACAGCCTGATATAAAACAACATTATATAATACTTTACTGAATAATAATATACAGAATAATAAGAACAAATAAAACTAAAATATAATATAAAATAACATTATATAATACTTTACTGAATAATAATAAACAGAATAATAAGAACAAATAAAACTAAAATATAATATAAAACAACATTATATAATACTTTACTAAATAATAATATACAGTATAATAATACTTTACCAGATCGTAATCGTAAGCCCATGTGAAGCGGTTCAGGTCTTATTTTGACCTGTAGTCCTTTGAAATAAGGAGCTTCTGTTCAGAACAATAATCTTTATTTTTAATAGAAAAAGTCAGAATTATTCAGTGTTGTGTTTTTTTTTCTTAATCCAGATTATATAATCTGTATTTCTGACTTCATCTTTCATCGTCAGTAGAAACTGCAGATTCGTTTGAATTATTTCCTTTTTTTAGAGGATTGTTCTTCGGTAGTTTGCAGGTACATGGTGTTGTTGTTGTTGTTGTTGTTGGTACTTAAAGCATTGAAACTTACATAATGTCTGATCTTTAATCCTCGGCCTCCAGACTGAAGCGCACACACTGATTTCATGGTCAGAAATCTGCTGAGATGACATTTTAAACCCGCGTTAGAGAGTCCAAAACCAGGTCCAGGAGGACTCTGAGGTCACGGGTTTCAAGGTCAGAGACACGGCTGCTGAAAGTGTAAAATCTGAGACAGGGGTTCGATGATGATGATGATGATGGTGATGATGATGATGATCAGTCCTCCAAACTCAGATCTCCTCAAACCGAACTCCTGTCTGATATCTTGCGTTTGGAGGAGTCGTCCTCAGGAGTCATTAGCAGTCAGAGCAGCTCCTCCGAGTCGTCTGACATTTTAACTTCTCTGCGGCTCACAGCGTGAAGGTTTTTAAGGTCACCCTGTGTTTCCACTGACACATGAATCCAGGCGTGAATTGGTGTGAAGCCACTTCAGGAAGGTGTGGGCTCTAAAAGCAGAGGCGCCAACGTTCGCTCCTCCTCCTGTGAATCCACCGTTTTGATTGATTAGTCAACAATTAAGCAGCTGATTGGATCAAGTGTGGTTTTATCAATCAGACAATTATCAAGAAAGAAACTGAGCGCTTCTTTTCCACACTGTGGCTCCGCCTCAGCTCCTCTTTAGCAGGACGTCTGGATGAACCGGGGTCTCATGGATCTGTCCCTGGAGCTGGTCTGGTCTGTAGTCCAGAAGGTCTTGATGCCCCTGAGGTCGAGGATTCCTGTTTCTTTTTACTGTCACTCTGAAATGTAATAAAAGATTAAACGGCTAAAGAAGGACAGTGTGCTCTCTTTGACACAGATAAGGGAGGATGCTGACGTAGTGAAGCTAACCCGGGATTTCCACCGCATCCTGAACGGCTCCGATCCTTAACGGCAGCGATTTTCGCTGTACGCCAATTCCTACTGGATCTGTTTCTGAGCCAAATTTCCTTTCCAGCACGGGTTAATCTGAGCTGAATTTATCCGCCAAATAGAACTCTTGAGATCAGCTGAGGAGTCCGGCGATCCGCAGAGGAACGGAAAGAAGTCGGTGTAAATCGACACGTTAACTTGAATGGTTACGATCAGCTACGATCGGAGGATACGACCTTTTAGGAGACGATCAGGATGAAGGTGGAGGTTGTTGGTTAGTATTTCTGATTGTGGCGATCGACGGCGGCTCATTCCTCAGGAGTTTGGATGAAAGTTAAAATTTTCAACAGATGTGAAGGTTAGACAAACTCGGAGGTAGTCATGGTTACGTGGTTGGCCTTTTTTGTAGCCGTTCAGGATGTGGTGGAAATCGGGGGTAACTGTTCCTCTTCTGCATCATAAACTTCTGAATGTTCCTCGAACTTCAGCTGATGAACAGTCAGGCTCGTTAAGTCACTCGTTAGAGTTAAATCCAGGATTCTCACAGGTCAAAACGGCGTGGATCTCCTCGCTTCATTTGATTCTGTTTACATGAGGAGAGACTTTGAGATCTTTAAATGTTGGTCTTCAGATCACTGATGTGTCTCTTTGTTTCCAGAGCTTCTCGGTGGACTCTCCTCCTGACACAGCTGGACATTCAGAGACCTCTTTGGTCTCGTCACACGTCCTGCAGCCAGCATGCCGATCATCAGCAACGCCAACCACGACTTCAGCGCCTACTCCATCAGCAGCGATGACAGCAGCCTCGATCGCTTCTTCACAGAGATCCCAGAGACCGAGACCATCAAGGGCGTTTACTTCAAACGCGCTCAGCTGCTTCGGGACCCCAAGGCTTCATACGTGGTCGACCACACCCTGCAGGTTCTCATCAATGTTGGAGGAAACCGCTACACCTTTCCATGGAGCACCTTGGAGCAGTTTCCCCAGAGTCGTCTGGGGCGTCTGCGGTTCTGCTCCACCCCTGAGGAGATCGCACGGCTCTGCGACGACTACGATGAGACTCGCCAGGAATACTTCTTTGACCGAAACCCGACAGCTTTCAGGGTCATCCTCAACTTCCTGGCGGCAGGGAAGCTCCGCCTGCTGCGGGAACTGTGCGCCGTGTCCCTGCACGATGAGCTGGATTACTGGGGGGTGGACCCCGGACATATGGAGCGCTGCTGCCGTCGCCGAATGATCACCAGGGTGGAAGAGGTGACCGACCGAGAGCGCAAAGAGGAGGAGTGGAGGCAGAAGAGGATGACGCTGAAGAAAAACACCCGTCCCAATGAAAAAGGGTACCGCCGACTGACCGGGGCGCTGAGGGAGGTGGTGGAAAACCCTCAGTCCGGGTTGGCGGGAAAGACGTTTGCCTGTCTGTCTGTGGTCATGGTGCTGGTTACCGTCATCAGTCTCTGCATCAGCACCATGCCAGACCTCCGAGATGAAGAGAACAAGGTGAGTACGAGACGGACAGACACATGCTGACCAAACAGGTTCATTACAGAAGGTTTCCAAGACCCGACAGACCAGAGTCATCAAACCAGAGTCACCCCCGACCTCCACCTTCATCCTGATCGTCTCCTAAAAGGTCGTATCCTCCGATCGTAGCTGATCGTAACCATTCAAGTTAACGTGTCGATTTACACCGACTTCTTTCCGTTCCTCTGCGGATCGCCGGACTCCTCAGCTGATCACAAGAGTTCTATTTTTTCTGGACGCCGGAGCATGGCGGATAAATTCAGCACAGATTAACCCGTGCTGGAAAGGAAGTCGGGCACAGACACAAAATAAAACATCCGGCTTCTTTTCAAAATAAAACACTCCGTGTTTCAGGAGGATCGTATTTCACACCATGCAAACGGGCGGAGACGAACAAGTGAAAGGTTTTTAGACGTCATTTCACCCCGATGACACCATGGATGAGGAGATGCTGATTCTAGAAGTCTAGAAGTAGATTTCCTCCTCTGGAAGGACACAATCTACTGCTTATATGTCTATGTGTCTGTCTTTAGAGAGACGACTCGTTATCGAGCGATTGAACGTGAATCCGCGGGTTCTTGTGAGTTCTCAGATTACAGCTGTCCGTAATCCACCATGAAATTCGGCTCATGGAACGAAATGGTGGATGGCGAAAACCTCCACCGTTGCGGATCAGAGCGGTTCTGGATTTGGTGAAAATTGGGGGTTAGGTCTAGGCGCTGGTTGTCTACTCAGTAGCTCAGGAGGTAGAGCGGTCGTCCAATAACCAGCAGGTTGGCGGTTCAATTCCCCCCTATCCTGAGTCTGTCCGTCGTGTCCTTGGGCGAGACACTTAACCCACCGTACTCCCAGTGTGTGTCCTCCACTGGTGTGTGATTGTGAGTGTTGTGTGGTGGTGGTCAGAGAGACCGTAGACGTAAACTGGCAGCCATGTTTCTGTCAGTCTGCCCCAGGTCAGCTGTGACTACTAAGGTAGTTTACCACCGCCAAGGTGTGACTGTGTGAGCGAATGAATGATGGATCCAATGTAAAGCACTTTGAGGGTCTCTGATAAAGCGCTATATGAAATCTGATGCGTTATTATTATTATTATTATAAAGGTAGAACAGAAAAACGTCAGCGCTCGTTCAGAGAACAAACCGTTTCTCTTCGGTCAGAATCAGGATGTAATTTTAGACTTTTCCTGAAACAAAGCAGGACGACAAATGAAGCTCAGATAGGAAATCTATGTGAACATCTAGACTCCTGCGTTGAACTCGGCTCTCTGTGACGAGGTTCTTCATGGTCAGCGGAGATGAAACGAATAAAAACAAGTTGAGTTTAGTGACGCTTGTCGAGGGTCAGCCCGGTTTAAATCATGATCTCTGAAGAGGTTACTGAAGGTCAGGTCTGTGTGTGTGTGTGTGTGTGTGTGTGTGTGTGTGTGTGTGTGTGTGTGTGTGTGTGGTCTCCCTGACTCTAAAACAGGTTGAGATCTTAAAGGCGTCCAGCCGCCTGCCTGAGGCGTCTGCAGGATTGATTGTATAATAGTGATCAGTGTGAACAGGCTGAACGCTGTGAGACTGCTGTGGGATTGTGGGATTGTGTTTTGGAAGCCTGAATAATCAGTGGATTGATTTCTCCCTGATGTACCTGCGGTCAATCACACTCATCAGGACGCCAAGAAAATGAGGCATCGATGTTCTCAGAGGCTGAAACACAAAGTCGTGTGTCTGATGGTTCGAAATTCCTCTGAACAAACGCTCAGAGCTGCCAAACCTCCTGTCATTATTCTTCTGTTTTACTACAGAAACTTGTTCCTGAAACTGTTTTTGTTTACAGCTCTGCAAACAGAGAAATCAGTTTGAGCGGCTGAGGAAGCATCAACAACGAGACCGAAACAGACGTCCAACATGACCACGTCTGTTTCTGACAGATTATACAGAATAATTATAAAGACCTGCTGTAGATTCAGTTTTTTCTGCATTTGTGGTCTGAACATTAAAGATCAGGACTCAGCAGGATTTGGTGTCTGCAGACCGATGACCAGGAAACCAGAGAGACTATTTACAGAGAAACTGAGACCTCCTGTGATGCCTCTGTGTAACTTCACAATGAAGCAAACCGCCGACCTCCACCTTCATCCTGATGGTCTCCTAAAAGGTCGTATCCTCGGATCGTAGCTGATCGTAACCATTCAAGTTAACGTGTCAATTTACACCGACTTCTTTCCGTTCCTCTGCGGATCGCCGGACTCCTCAGCTGATCACAAGAGTTCGACATTACACATTTCAACTGTGGTCAGAATCTGGTTTTGGATCATCTGAAGAATCATCTGAAGGTCTTCCCTGAAAATTCTTTGTCTGGATGGACGCAGATGTTGCTCTTAAACCTGGAGATCTTGTTTAAAACTGAGGATGCAGCATCTATGATTTCCAGTTCTTTGTTGAAAGGACAGTTGGACCTACTTGGGACGTCCCAGGTAGGTCCAACTGTCCTTTCCAAAAGAGTGTTACCCCCAATCTCCACCTTCATCCTGAACGTCCACCATGCAAACGGGCGGAGACGAACAAGTGAAAGGTTTTTAGACGTCATTTCACCCCGATGACACCATGGATGAGGAGATGCTGATTCTAGAAGTCTAGAAGTAGATTTCCTCCTCTGGAAGGACACAATCTACTGCTTATATGTCTATGCCACAAAATTCACCTCCCAAACGGATCCGGTAGGAATTGGCAGATGGCGAACGTCACTGTCGTTCCGGATCAGAGCGGTTCCGGATGTGGTGAGCAGGTTCATGTCTCTAAATAAAACCTTTTAACAGTCAAACTGAGACTCACCTGATCCCCGACAGCGGTGCGGTGCGGTGCGGTGCGGCTCACGTCGATGATGCTGAAGGATCAGAATTGAATCTAAAACTGTGATTATTAAATGTCAAACAAATTCATGACAGGTTCCCTCTCTGCTCCTGGAGAAACGGACTTCAAATGTTCAGTTTGGGGTTTATTTGTGCCGTTCAAACCAAAGTATTGACCTGTAGCTCTGAATGAAAGCGGCGCTCTGTCAGTAAACACGAGCTGCTCGTTAAAAAGCCTGCGCCTCCATCCCAAGGTTGTAATTTAAGCTTTTTATGTAGTCGCTCGGTGTCGGTGAAAAGCATTCCTCCTCTTCTTTCATTCAGGCGGCTTTTAAAGACTCTGAAATGGAAATGGATTTTTTTTCCTGAGAACCCAAAGAAAGAGAGTTCAGACGGAGAGCTGTGCAAACATGCATCACTGAAAAGATGTTGTGAAAATCAGTGACAGCAAACCCAACATTTCTCCATATTTGGCAGAAGGTCTTTTGTCAGAGACTGGAGGGTTTGAGTTTATTTGAACTGTTGGACAAAAATACTGTGGAAGATAAAACATGAGCCTAAAAAGCCTTAAATGGACCTGAAGGACAATCTGTACCGAGAAATCAACAATCTGAGCGAGAGAGAGCAGCAGGACCACCGGAGGAACCACGAGAGGAAGAGGAAGACAGCCCTCAGTTCAGGTCAGGAGGTCGTCCTGAAGGGACCAGGGCGGGAGCAGCAGGTGACGAGCTGTTCTGATTGGATATTACTCCCCGTCTATTCAGTGGTGGGTCAGAGGACCCAGGGTTCACGGGCCCCTCCTCGGCTCGGGTCGTGGAAGCAGCTTGAGTGGATCTGACCCCAGTTTTCACCGCAGCTCCGATCCGGAACAGCGGCGATTTTCGCCGTCCGCCAATTCCTACTGGATCCGTTTGTGAGGCGGATTTAATGTTGGATCACAGAGAGCAGGAATCATGAGAACTCCAGAGTCGTCTCTCTAAAGACAGACACATAGACATATAAGCAGTAGATTGTGTCCTTCCAGAGGAGGAAATCTACTTCTAGACTTCTAGAATCAGCATCTCCTCATCCATGGTGTCATCGGGGTGAAATGACGTCTAAAAACCTTTCACTTGTTCGTCTCCGCCCGTTTGCATGGTGTGAAATACGATCCTCCTGAAACACAGAGTGTTTTATTTTGAAAAGAAGCCGGATGTTTTATTTTGTGTCTGTGCCCGACTTCCTTTCCAGCACGGGTTAATCTGTGCTGAATTTATCCGCCATGCTCCGGCGTCCAGAAAAAATAGAACTCTTGTGATCAGCTGAGGAGTCCGGCGATCCGCAGAGGAACGGAAAGAAGTCGGTGTAAATTGACACGTTAACTTGAATGGTTACGATCAGCTACGATCGGAGGATACGACCTTTTAGGAGACGATCAGGATGAAGGTGGAGGTCGGCGGTGAGAGTTTCTCTGATCCGCAGACGTGGACCTGTGTGAGGATCAGTCCTGGTTTAAAAACTTCACTAAACTGAGATACTGAAGAGTGAACTGATTGATTGATTGATTGATTGATTGATTGATTGATTGATTGATGATTGATACCTCTAACCTGACCTGACTGTAGAACAGCGGACTGTCCCTTTAAAGCGGCGGCTCTGTGTGTCTCGGCAGGGCGAGTGCTCTCAGAAGTGTCGCAGCATGTTCGTGGTGGAGTCGATCTGCGTCGCCTGGTTCACCCTGGAGTTCGTGCTCAGATTCGTCAACGCTCAAAGCAAACTGGCGTTCGCCCGCGGCCCCCTCAACATCATTGACGCCATTGCCATCCTGCCGTACTACGTGTCCCTGGTATTTGACATCAGGGAGGAGTCTGAGGAGGACGTCATCATGGGGGCCGGGAGAGGATACCTGGACAAGCTGAGTCTGATCCTGCGTCTGCTGCGGGCGCTGAGGATCCTGTACGTCATGCGTCTGGCTCGCCACTCTCTGGGCCTGCAGACGCTCGGACTCACCATGCAGCGGAGCATCCGCGAGTTCGGCCTGCTGCTGCTCTTCGTCTGCGTCGCCGTCACCCTCTTCTCGCCACTTGTGCACCTCGCCGAGAGTGAGCTGGCGCCGTTCGCAGCCACACACCCCCAACACAGCTTCAGCAGCATTCCCGCCTCCTATTGGTGGGCCATCATCTCCATGACGACAGTTGGATATGGCGACATGGTGCCGTGGAGCATCCCTGGACAGATCGTCGCCCTCACCAGCATTCTGAGCGGCATCCTCATCATGGCGTTTCCCGCCACCTCCATCTTCCACACCTTCTCCCGCTCGTACCAGGAGCTGAAGCAGGAGTACGAGCGTCTGTGGAAGGAGGAGCGAGGGGAGGAGATCGCCGCCGAGTCCGAGGGGAGCTGGTCAAAGGCAGATCTGTCGCCCGATGAGCTCATGTCCATGGAAAATGACGTTCTGATGTCAGACAGGGGTCACCAGTCGACTCTCCCGTCTACGGCGTTCTGAGCGAGCGTCAGCCTCTCAGGCGGTAATTACAGGATAAATGTGGAGACTGCACTGAGCGCGCTCAGACAGTGAAGGACCGTGACTGAGAGGATCATGATCTACGTCAGAAGACTCCAAACTCATCAGGTGACTAAAGATCTGCTCCTCCTGCAGCGCCCCCCACAGGACATTTCTGTCAATCATGGAAACATGTCTGACCTTTAAAGGATGACCTCATATATAAAACACACCTGAACACACACCTGGACACACACCTGGACACACACCTGGACACACACCTGGATACACACCTGAACACACACCTGAACACACACCTGAACACACACCTGGATACACACCTGAACACACCTCAACACACCTGAACACACCTGGACACACCTGAACACACACCTGAACACACACCTGAACACACACCTGAACACACCTGAACACGCCTGGACACACCTGAACACACCTGGACACACCTGAACACACCTGAACACGCCTGGACACACCTGAACACACACCTGGACACACACCTGGATACACACCTGAACACACACCTGGATACACACCTGAACACACACCTGGACACACACCTGAACACACCTGAACACACCTGGACACACACCTGAACACACACCTGAACACACCTGAACACACACCTGGATACACCTGAACACACACCTGGACACACACCTGGATACACCTGAACACACACCTGGACACACACCTGAACACACCTGAACACACACCTGAACACACCTGAACACACCTGGACACACCTGAACACACACCTGGACACACACCTGGACACACCTGAACACACCTGGACACACACCTGAACACACCTGGACACACACCTGGACACACCTGAACACACACCTGGACACACCTGAACACACACCTGAACACACCACACACCTGGACACACACCTGAACACACACCTGGACACACACCTGAACACACCTGGACACACCTGGACACACACCTTAACACACCTGTGTTTACCTTCACTGTTAACGCTGTTCAGTCTCCACGAGCTTCACTTAGCATTAGCATTTAGCAGACGACTGTAACACACCGCTATCCCAGTCCGGTTTTTGGTCTCCATGAAATAGAAGATTGTGAACCGTATGCACCGACATTAATGCACCAACTTTAACACACCAACATTAACACACCAACATTAACGCACCGACATTAATGCACCAACATTAACACACTTACATAAAGGCACATAAATGTACCCACATACATTAACATGTCAACATTAATGCTCCAACATTAATGCACTTACATTAACGCACTAACTTTAGGTACCAATGTCAGCAGGCTAAGATGAATATTAATCCCCAACATTCACAGACATGTTAGCTAGCTGGCTCTAGCGCCCGCGTTCATGAGTTGTGCTGCAGTGACGAAAAACTAACGTTATCGTAAAATATAACCTCGGCACTGAGTTAGTGATTTCAGATCACATGGTAACAGATTTAAAGGGGTATCATGTTTTTTCAGACTCTATAGTTCCTCTCTGATTCCTCTTTAACATCTTTACATGATTTTAAACTGACACTGACATTAACGCACCAACATTATTGCACCAACATTAACACACCAACATTAACACACCAACATTAACGCACCAACATTAACACACCAACATTGACACACTAACATTTATGCACCAATATTAACGCACCAACATTTATGCACCAACATTAACGCACCAACATTTACGCACCAACATTAACGCACCAACATTAACGCACCAACATTAACACACTAACATTAACACACCAACATTAACACAGCAACATTAACGCACCAACATTAACATACCAACATTAACGCACCAACATTTACGCTCCAACATTAACACACCAACATTAACGCACCAACATTAACGCACCAACATTAACACACTAACATTGACACACTAACATTTATGCACCAACATTAATGCACCAACATTAACGCACCAACATTAACACACTAACATTGACACACTAACATTTATGCACCAACATTAATGCACCAACATTAACGCACCAACATTAACACACCAACATTAACACACCAACATTAATGCACCAACATTAACACACCAACATTATTGCACCAACATTAACGCACCAACATTAATGCACCAACATTAACGCACCAACATTAACACACCAACATTAACACACCAACATTAACGCACCAACATTAATGCACCAACATTAACGCACCATTATTAACACACCAACATTAACGCACCAACATTAATGCACCAACATTAACGCACCAACATTAACACACCAACATTAACGCACCAACATTAACGCACCAACATTAATGCACCAACATTAACGCACCAACATTAACACACCAACATTAACGCACCAACATTAACGCACCAACATTTATGCACCAACATTAATGCACCAACATTAACGCACCAACATTAACACACCAACATTAACACACCAACATTAACGCACCAACATTAATGCACCAACATTAACGCACCATTATTAACACACCAACATTAATGCACCAACATTAATGCACCAACATTAACGCACCAACATTAACGCACCAACATTAACGCACCAACATTAACACACCAACATTAATGCACCAACATTTACGCACCAACATTAACGCACCAACATTAACACACCAACATTAACGCACCAACATTAACACACCAACATTAACGCACCAACATTAACGCACCAACATTAACGCACCAACATTAACACAGCAACATTAACGCACCAACATTAATGCACCAACATTAACACAGCAACATTAACGCACCAACATTAACGCACCAACATTAATGCACCAACATTAACGCACCAACATTAACACACTAACATTGACATACTAACATTTATGCACCAACATTAATGCACCAACATTAACGCACCAACATTAACACACCAACATTAACACACCAACATTAATGCACCAACATTAACACACCAACATTATTGCACCAACATTAACGCACCAACATTAATGCACCAACATTAACGCACCAACATTAACACACCAACATTAACACACCAACATATACGCAACAACATTAATGCACCAACATTAACGCACCAACATTAACACACCAACATTAACACACCAACATTAACGCACCAACATTAATGCACCAACATTAACGCACCAACATTAACACACCAACATTAACGCACCAACATTAACGCACCAACATTAATGCACCAACATTAACGCACCAACATTAACGCACCAACATTAACACACCAACATTAACGCACCAACATTAACGCACCAACATTAACGCACCAACATTAACGCACCAACATTATTGCACCAACATTAATGCACCAACATTTACGCACCAACATTAATGCACCAACAATAAAACACCAACATTAACGCACCAACATTAACACACCAACATTAATGCACCAACATTAAAGCACCAACATTAACGCACCAACATTAACGCACCAACATTAATGCACCAACATTAATGCACCAACAATAAAACACCAACATTAACGCACCAACATTAACACACCAACATTAATGCACCAACATTAAAGCACCAACATTAATGCACCAACATTTACGCACCAACATTAATGCACCAACAATAAAACACCAACATTAACGCACCAACATTAACACACCAACATTAATGCACCAACATTAACGCACCAACATTAACACACCAACATTAACGCACCAACATTAACGCACCAACATTAATGCACCAACATTAACGCACCAACATTAACGCACCAACATTAACACACCAACATTAACGCACCAACATTAACGCACCAACATTAACGCACCAACATTAACGCACCAACATTATTGCACCAACATTAATGCACCAACATTTACGCACCAACATTAATGCACCAACAATAAAACACCAACATTAACGCACCAACATTAACACACTAACATTGACACACTAACATTTATGCACCAACATTAATGCACCAACATTAACGCACCAACATTAACACACCAACATTAACACACCAACATTAATGCACCAACATTAACGCACCAACATTATTGCACCAACATTAACGCACCAACATTAATGCACCAACATTAACGCACCAACATTAACACACCAACATTAACACACCAACATTAACGCACCAACATTAATGCACCAACATTAACGCACCAACATTAACACACCAACATTAACACACCAACATTAACGCACCAACATTAATGCACCAACATTAACGCACCAACATTAACACACCAACATTAACGCACCAACATTAACGCACCAACATTAATGCACCAACATTGACGCACCAACATTAACGCACCAACATTAACACACCAACATTAACGCACCAACATTAACGCACCAACATTAACGCACCAACATTAACGCACCAATATTATTGCACCAACATTAATGCACCAACATTTACGCACCAACATTAATGCACCAACAATAAAACACCAACATTAACGCACCAACATTAACACACCAACATTAATGCACCAACATTAAAGCACCAACATTAACGCACCAACATTAACGCACCAACATTAACGCACCAACATTAACACACCAACATTTCCTCTTGAACATCTTTACATGATGATTAAATCAAAAACAGACTCCTGTTTCTGGCGTTTTAATAATCAGAATTTCAGCCGTCGTCTAAAAGGAGGAGCTTTGTGGAGAGTTTTCCACGAGTCGACCGAGGGCGGAGCTTGATGTCTGTGCTGAAGCTCAGATGACTGAAACACCGACACAGGAAGTTAGTGAGGGTGGAGTTTTCACACAGGATCCTGTTTTGATCAGTTTACATCTATTCTGCAGGATTATGATGACGTACAGTTGACATTTATGTCATGATTGAAAACCTTTCAGACATGTAGTACAGACACCAAACTTTGTAGATTTGTAGTTTTTTTTTTTATGAATGTAGAAAAGCAGCAAACCTCCCCTTTAAAACATGCAGCTAAAGCTGAATGAGAAATGTTTTATTCTTGAAAACTAAAAACTCTGGATGTATCTGGATGAATCTGACATGTTTGAGAATAAAACATGAAGAAATGTGAATGTCGTTTTTCAGAAAAAGAGTGAACTTCTCCTTTTTTCTGTCTGTTACTCCGTCTTTCTCTCACTGTGTGTTTTTGCTTTTCTAGTGTCTTAAACGGTTCGATTGTTGGAGTGTTTTTACCTGAAACACAGACAGCAGCAGCAGAGAGAGAGAGAGAGAGAGAGAGAGAGAGAGAGAGAGAGAGAGAGAGAGAGAGAGAGAGAGAGAGAGAGAGAGAGAGAGAGAGAGAGGGAGAGGGAGAGAGAGAGAGAGAGGGAGAGAGAGAGAGAGACAGACAGAGAGAGAGAGAGACAGAGAGAGAGAGAGAGAGAGAGAGAGAGAGAGTGTTTTTATGGTTTTGACATTTTAAAGGGGATCTGTTCTCACAGTTAAACTAAGAAAAGGACAAAAAACTGAGATTCAAAATGATCTTTTAAAAAGAACTAAATACAGACGGAGCAGGACAGACGACGAACCAACAAAGAAACAGGAGGAGACGGGGACCATGAATGAGGGAGGGATCAACTCCTACAAAATAAAACAGCAAATAAACAAGGAATCAACTATTTCAAATTAAAACAGGAAACACATGGAATAAACTCCTACAAATTAAAAGAGGAAACACTGATCTGAAGAATCAAATACAGAGAAGAGGAGGGAAACTCACAGGACTGGACTACAGGGACAAAAGGGGAAATAAAACCAGGAGAAAACTGAACTTCTAGAACATTTCCTGACGTTTGTTTGACTCATTTCGACTTTTGATTCAGTCTGAGAAACTTCAACAGCAGCTTTGAAGGATTTCAGCTCTAAAAGTTTCTTCTTTCTCTCATCCTGGCGTCTGTTTGGACCCTCGTTTCGGCTCTTTTCACTCTTGACTGTTCGGCTTCGTTTTCGCTGCTTTCGTACTGAACTGAGGCGTGGTGTTGGTGGTGTTGTTCTTACACAGACAGGAAGTCAGGCACAGTGTGTGGACGTTCACAGGAACACACCTGAGGTTAGCTGTTAGCGTCCAGCTAACGACAGGGCGTCGCTTCAGGCTCAGACCAGTTTGGGTCTCCATGAAAGCTCTGCATGTCTGGTTGATGACTTACTTAGACTTAGTTCCTATTGGACCGTTGGGCGACGAGTCCCCTCCATTTGCTCCGGTCCCTAGCGACCCTTCTTGCTCCACGCCAGCTGACTCCCGTCTCGCCCAGGTCTTCCTCGGCTGTTTGTCTCCTGTCTCCTTGGCCTCCCTCTGTTGCCACACTCGCCCGTCTCTCTCTTGATGTGGTCTCTCCATGAGATCTTCAGGATGGATCTGAGGCACCATCGATGGAGGACATCCAACTTGTAGGTGATGCTGGCTGTCTTCGTCCACGTCTCACAGGCGTAGGTCGCTGTGGGGATGTCCACTGACATATAGAGTCGTAGCTTTGTTGCCGTGGTGATGGATTTCGACGACCAGATGTTCCAGAGTCATTGGAGGACCCCTGCAGCTTTGCCAGTTCTGGTCTGTGAGTCTTTCTCCAGTATTTGAGATGTTGTTTCTGAGGTCAGTGAAGTTCTCCACGTTCTCCATGTCCTGTTCGTCTGTGGTGAGCGGTGGAAGGTGTTGATGTTGTACGGCGGTCATGGCCCTGGTCTTTTCTCGGCTTATTCGTAGACCGACTTTTGCTCATGCAGGTTGTTTGTCAATTCTTGGAGTGTGACGTGGGCGTGGCTAATGAGCGCCAAATCATCTGCAAAGTCTAGATGGTCCAGTCCGCCCCCTCCCCTCTTGATGCCGTGGTTTGCCCCGATGACAAAGTTAATGACGGTAATAAAGAGTAAGGGTGACAGGATGCGACCCGGTCTTACCCCGGTCACCGTGTCAGAGTCATCGGTTGTGCCGTTGGTGGTTTTTACTCGGCGAGTGGAGACGTGATATCAGGCCCTGAAGACTTGGACACACTTGGCTGGTTGATGACAGGATGAGGAGTGAGGAGGAGACAGATGGACAGGACGGAGAGTCTCCAAACTCTGCTGCTGGCACCGATCCTCCACTCCGAGGGGAACAATGGAGACATTCAGAAGTCCAACACCTCCTCATTTCCTCCAACCTTCACCTCCTGCTATCCTCACACACACCGTCGTTGTTCTCCTCCTATCAGGACAGACCTGCAGAGGAGTTCCTCATCAGAAGTAAAATTAGAACAATAATAATAAGATTTATTAACAATCCTAGTTTCCTTTTTTTACTCTGATCACAAAATAAAACAGAGCAAACGTTTGTGTTCTTAGTCTGAAGTTCATGTTAATGTAAAGAGTAAATGAAGGTGGTTAATGTGTTTTTTAAATGTCTCCTCTTAATTATGTCCGCTAATGACCTTCAAAATAAAGCTCAGACGACAGTGAATAGAAAAATAATGCTTTTATTTTGAAAGGTGAGTCAAACGTTTTCCTGAGATCACAGCTGAATAGAAACAGAGCTGCATACATTAAAGTTTAATTATAATATTAATGATTTATTATTATTCAGACCGTCCCTCTGCTCTTCACTGATGTCTTTAAAGGACATTTTCTTCTTTATTTCACAGTTTCACATGATCGAAATACTTTTCTGCTGAATGATCGATAAATAAAGAACTAATCAAAGATAATTTCAGGGTCGAGCAGTCGTCTGGTTCCTGCTGACGCCCCCTTGTGGGAGTTCGGTGGTGTGACAGGCAGATTTGGGCTTCTGGCTGTGAGTTGGCCACAGTTTTTCCAGCCTCTTGGCGTAATCGCTCCTCGGATCGATGCAGATCTGTCTGTCACAGACGGTGGTGACTCTGTGGAGAAAAGGGTCAAAGATGAGTGACAGACACTGACGTGAGAACAGAAGAAAAAGATCCGAACAGAGACCGAGTTCATGTCAGAGGAGTTTATCAAAGTTCATTTAAAACTGCAGCAAAGAGGACATGAAGAGGGAAACAACCGGAACATTCAAAACTCAGTCAGACCTGCAGGTCTATGAGGAAAACCAGTGAACGGCTCCCCCTAGTGGAGTGTTTTCAAACTGTCTCAGATTCAGACAGTGTAACAGGACTGTCTGCAGAGACGCTTTCAGAGTTTGAAGAAGATTTAAAGATCGTTTGACCCTCCAGACACTGAAATATCCGCTTTGACTGCGGGCTGAAGTTCACGTCCATAAAGAAGATCCAACATCTCTCATGTCCTCGTGGGTTAAAGTTCTCACATGTGATTCTTTTAAAATCAGTTATTTGGCAGGAAAGTCAGAAACGATGGAACCAAAGTCTGTCGGTTTACGATTTTAAGAATCTAAAGTTTTAGTAAAAATACTTTAACGAGAGTAAAAACCAACAAGATCTGAGCGGAGAGAGTTTATGAAAAACCACAGAAGTGAAGAGAAGAGAAGACAAGATCTCAGCAGCAGCTGCTCAGGATCCCTGCAGATGAAGGTCCTGTGGAGGACTTACATGATGGCGTGGAGGCTGCAGTCTTTGGGGGTCTCCTCCACCGTCTTCAGCAGTTTGACAGGAACCTTCACGTCCTTCAAGTGTCCGCAGCAGGACTTCTCATTGGTCAGTTTAACTCCAGTCGGGACTGAAAACACACAAACACATGAACACATGAACACATGAAACACACAAACACATGAACACACAAACACATGAACACATGAACACATGAAACACATGAACACATGAACACATGAACACATGAACACAAACACATGAAACACATGAACACATGAACACACAAACACACAAACACATGAACACACAAACATATGAACACATGAACACATGAACACACAAACACACAAACACACAAACACATGAAACACATGAACACATGAACACATGAACACACGAAACACACAAACACATGAACACATGAACACACAAACACACAAACACACAAACACATGAACACATGAACACATGAAACACATGAACACATGAACACACAAACACATGAACACACAAACACACGAACACATGAAACACATGAAACACACAAACACACAAACATATGAAACACACAAACACACAAACACATGAACACATGAAACACACAAACACACAAACACATGAA